CTCCAGCTGCATGACTTCTAAAAAATGATTTCTAGACCTGGAACCAACCCAAATGCCCATCGATGATAGACTGGACAGGGGAAATTTGGCACATATATACCATGGAATATTACGCAGCCATCAAAAACGATGAGTTCGTGTCCTTTGTAGGGATATGGATGAACCTGGAAACCATCATTCTCAGCAAACTGACACAGGAGCAGAAAATCAAACACCGCATGTTCTCACTCATAGGCAGGTGTTGAACAATGAGAACACATGGACACAGGGAGGGGAGCACTACACAGTGGGGTCTGTTGGAGGGAAATAGGGGAGGGACAGGGGGTGGGGAGTTGGGGGGGATGGCATGGGGAGAAATGCCAGATATAGGTGACGGGGAGGAAGGCAGAAAATCACACTGCCACATGTGTACCTATGCAACAATCTTGTATGTTCTTCATATGTACCCCAAAACCTAAAATGCAATTAAAAAAAAGAATTAACTAAACCCCCCCCCAAAAAAATTATTTCTAAACCTATGGCTAATGTTAGTCCTACAAAGGAAATGTAATCCCCAGGTAAGAAGGAGATCTCCTTTAAGAAAGCGATGTCTTTGTTTAAACTATAAACTAAGTTTCTCCCAAAGTTAGTTCAGCCTACACCCAGGAATGAACAAGGACAGCTTAGAGGTTAAAAGCAAGATGGAGTCAGTTATGTTAGATCTCTTTCATTGTCTCAGTCATAAATTTTGCAAAGACAGTTTCAATCCCTCTGCTCTGGTTTTATAACATCTTAATCTTAAGGTGTAGGCTATGAAGAAGGAAAAAGGTCATCAATTGCTCTGGCTTCTTCCTGCTGATAGGGGACATACTGGGAGAGAGAGTGAACACCAAGGTGCGAAGACTGGAACTGCTTTGCCACTGTCAGCTTGCTCATGCAGGCCTGGCTGGGCTTTCAAGTCTTACATAGTAAAACATTAGTACTTTTATCTATCATTTTACTACCATATTAAGTGAACAGCCTACTATAAGATAAATAATGAGTCCTAGGATGAGGAGTACAATTCCCAATTTTAAAAGCAAAGATTTGGGCCAGGTGCAGTGGCTCACACCTGTAATCCCAGCACTTTGGGAGGCTAAGGCTGGTGGATCATGAGTTTAGGAGGTCAAGACCAGCTTGGCCAGTATGGTTAAACCCTGTATCTACAAAAAATATTAAAAAATTAGCTGCGCGTGGTGGCGGGCATCTGTAGTCACAGCTACTTGGGAGGCTGAGGCAGAAGAATTACTCGAACTGGGAAGGTGGAGGTTGCAGTGAGCTGAGATCACGCCACTGCACTGCAGTCTGGGTGACAGAAAAAGACTCCATCTCAAAACAAAAACAAAAACAAAAACTAAGATTTGAAAGCATTAGTTTGGAGACTTCTAACCCACAAATCCAAGAATTTAGGATTTAGTCCAAATTGCAGAAAAAAATTCAAGAACAGCTAACAACAGTGTATTATAGTTTTTCTTTTGAAGGATAATTTTTCTCTCTCCAGTCCCCATTTTTATTAAAAAAAAAAATCATAATAGAACTATTTGAAACTTAAGACATGGCCCTTGAGCATATGTTTGGGGTTTCATGAGGGGAAGAGGAATGAGATAAATGCTTGCTTAGAGGAGGGCAGTGATGTTGAGGGTGTTACTGACTCTTAGGGAAACAGTGTCAGAGACATTCAAAGCAGAGTGACTCCATCTTGAATAGGGGCTGGGTAAAACAAGGCTGAGACCTACTGGCTGAGGTTAAGGCATTCTTAGTCATAAGATGAGACAGGAGGTCGGCACAAGATACAGGTCACAAAGACCTTGCTGATAAAACAGGCTGCAGTTAGGAAGCTGGCCAAAATCCCCCAAAACCAAGATGGTGATGAGAGTGGCCTCTGGTAGTCCTTGCTGCTCATTATATGCTAATTATAATGCATTAGCATGCTGAAAAACACTCCCATCAGTGCCACGACATTTTACAGATGCCATGGCAGTATCAGGATGTTATCCTATATGATCTAAAAAGGGGAGGAACCCTCAGTTCCAGGAATTGCCCACCCCTTTCCTGGGAAACTCGTGAATAATCCACTCCTTGTTTAGCATATAATCAAGAAATAACTGTAAGTCTCCTTAGTTAAACAGACTGCACCACTGTTCTGTGTATGGAGTGGCCATTCTTTTGTTTCTTTACTTCTCTAATAAACTTGCTTTCTTTGTGCTCTATGAACTCACCTTGAATTCTTTTTTGCACAAGATCCAAGAACCCTCTCTTGGGGTCCGGATCAGGAACGCTTTCCTGTAACAGCAGAACTCAGGAAAGGTACAGGAGGTGCAGGGAAGATAAGGGTGGAGACAAGCATTTCCCACTGAAGGTGAGCTCTGGGCCTGCTGATATGACCCGTGAAACACCCCTGCAAAAGCAGCTCTCAGGACTCACTCCACCTTGTCCTTTAGTTTGTGCAGCAGTTACATAGGCACAGACTGCTTTGCCTAAAAACCCATAGTCTAAAATCTGGCTTACCCCACACTTCTTGGGCAAAAACTTCTTCAGAAAAGTTTCAGGGCCTCTCCTTTTAGGATGACTAAAATATTGCTTGGCCAATGTTACTGTGCATAGAACACATGGAAATGTTAAAATACACATTCCTGCACCTCACTCCAGATACTCTGGTTCAGTATGTCTGAGGTGGGGCCTGAGCATTAGCTTTTTTTTTTTTTTTTTTTTTTTTTTTTTTTTCTTGAGACGGAGTCCTGCTCTGTTGCCCAGGCTGGAGTGGATTAGCTCTATCGCAGCTCACTGCAACCTCTGCTTTCTTGGTTCAAGTGATTCTCCTGACTCAGCCTTCTGAGTAGCTAGGATTACAGGAGCAAGCCACCATGCCCAACTAATTTTTGTATTTTTAGTAGATATTGGCCAGGGTGGTCTCAAACTCTTGGCCTTAGGTGATCTGCCTGCCTCAGCCTCCCAAAGTGCTGAGATTACACGCATGAGCCATCACATCCAGCTGAGAATTAGCATTACTAAAGTTCCCTAAGAGAAGCAGATGCTTCTGGCCCACCTGTTACCCTTTGGGTAGCACAGATTTAAATTGTGTTTCATTGTTAAAATCAGTTATATGGTGACCTTACTTTAAAATGTTAGTGAAAAATGGTCTGTGATAAATCCCAGCCTATACTGTGATGTTTATAAATTGAAAGCCATGAGCTTTAGAATTGGGTGGACCTGGATTTCTTTGCTGTCCTGACTCTTACAAGCTGTGTACAGCTCACCTCTCCAGGCTTTCAAGTACCTCAGTTTTTAAATTGGGAATAAAATTACTTACCTCTTAGGGATGTGGTGAGAATTATATGAGGGGCAAGTGAAAGGCACAGAGCCCTTATAAGAAATAGACTTGGTATGTCCCAGTAGATGTTTGATGTATATATTTTAGAAACTCATCCCCAGCAAATGTCCCCTGACTCCTACCCACAGCCTTCTGCGTCATCTCATACACTCATCAATGTGTTGTCTTGGTTTTCACTACTTCACTGTACTTTTAAGATGTGAAACCTAGTCAGTTTCAGTTAGCTCATCTCCCTACCCAATGTCTTACATGGTGCTTGGGACATAGTTGATGATGAATAAATATTTGTTAATTGTGTGAACTACATATAGAGGCCATATTAGTAGTCTTCAACTCAAGCAGGTTACACATAGAATTGCCTGGAAATTACCTAGGATATGCCCCAGAGATTCTAATTCAATTAATCAAGGGTTGTGTTTCTCGACCTTGGCTGCATATTAGAGTCACCAGGGAAATGTAAAACTGCACATGCTCTGGCCCCATCTCTGGCCGGTTACACCATAACCACTGGGGCTGGCGCCCAAGCAGCAGTGTTTTTGAAAAGTCGTGCCAGGTGACTCCATTATGTAGCTTGGATTGGGCACTACTGGGCTAGATAGGGAAACAATTTAAGCACATCAAGAGTGGACTATTGGGTACGGCGTGGTGGCTCATGCCTGTAATCCCAACACTTTGGGAGGCTGAGGCTGGCTGATCACTTGAGGTCAGGAGTTCGAGACCAGCCTGGTCAACATGGTGAAACCCTTTCTCTACTGAAAAACAAAAATTAGCCAAGTGTGATGGCACATGCCTGTAATCTCAGCTACTCAGGAAGCTTAAGCAGGAGAATAGCTTGAACCCAGGAGGCAGAGGTTGCAGTGAGCCCAGATCGTGCCACAGCACACCAGCCTGGGTGACAGAGTGAGATTCTGTCTCAAAAAAAAAAAAAAAAAAAAAGAGTGGACTATTAATGTCTTCTTAGGTCAGACAAATATGAAATTAGGAAGGGAGTGAGTCACTTTTGTGTATGTCTAATAAAATCTAATTTTGTCCTTTCCAACTCTGTTGATTTAATTTAATTGCTGAGTGTACAGGGTTGTTCTCTTCCTGATCCACTTCTCTATCCTTTTGGCTAGTTGCTGTTGCTGTAGAGTGACTGTGCTGGGTTGAATAGTGTCCGCCAAAAATTTATGTCCATCTGGAATCTGTGAATATGATCTTATTTGGAAATAGGGTGTTTGTAGACACAACAGAGTTAAGACAAAGTCATTCTTGACTAGAATGGGCCCTAATCCAATGGCTGGTGCCCTTATAAGGAGAGGGAAATTTGGACACACATCTAAGGCAAAACTCCCTTACAGGGATCAGAGTGATGTGTCTATAAGCCAAGGAATGTCAAGGATTCCAGTAACTTTAAGAAACTGGGAGAGAGGCATTTAACAGATTTTCCCTCAGGCCCTCCAGGAGAAACTAACTTTGGCAACACCTTGAGGCACTTCTTACCTCCATAAACAGTGAGATAACACATTTCTGTTTCTTTAAGCCACCTAGTCTGTGTAATGCATGATGGCAGCCTGAATAAAATAACAGTGACTTAATGGATATCCATGATCTCTATAGCATCTAGGTGTCCAGTTTGTTAAGAAGATTAATTTTAAAGTCATATTTCTGAAATCATTCCTTTATTTTGCACACACATAGCTGCTATTCACTGAACTTTCTCTAACTACAAGTCCATGCTGCCATGCAATGAAATGTGACAAATTCACGTCTTACTTAGAAGGCTGAACTGGAAATTCATAAATGTATTACAAATTTAAACTTTCATAGAAGGCTGTAATCAACAAAGTAAAGCTTGTACAGATAGAAAGTAGATGTGTATGCTTGTCACTCTTGGGCCCTTCAGCTCCTTCCAGAAAGGACTTTCTTTTCCAAACTTCAGAGACGCTGCAGATCAAGAATTTGGGCAGGTGCATCTGATTAGAAACTCCCTTCATCCAGTGTGAAAACGTGGACTAAAAGCAGCATAATATAAAAAGAGATTGTTCTCTGTCAGGGAGAAGTCAGCTCTAAAAACAAAAATTAAAAAAAAGCAAGGGATGTGAAAGATTCTTTGTTAGTTTTTATGGGCTGAGTGGTGTCCCTTCCAAAACCTAAAAACCTTAAATTGAAGGCCTAACCTCCAGTACCTCAGGGAGTGTTTGTATTTAAAGATAGAGGTCATTAAAGAGGTGGTTTAGGTTAAATGGAGTTGTTAGGGTGGAACTTCATACAGTATGACTGGTGTCCTAACAAAAGAGATGAGGACACAGATCCACACTAAGGAATGCCAGTGACAAGGCCGCCATCTGTGAGCCAAGGAGAGAGTCCTCAGAAGACACCAATCCTGCTGACACCTTGATCTTTTTTTTTTCTTTCTTTTTTTTAATTGCATTTTAGGTTTTGGGGTACATGTGAAGAACATGCAAGATTGTTGCATAGATACACAGGTGGCAGTGTGATTTGCTGCCTTCTTCCCCGTCACCTATATTTGGCATTTCTCCCCATGCTATCTCTCCCCAACTCCCCACCCCACCATCCCTCCCCTGTTTCCTCCCAACAGACCCCAGTGTGTAGTGCACCCCTCCCTGTGTCCATGTGTTCTCATTGTTCAACTCCAACTGGACACGAATGTTCATTGCAGCACTGTTTGCAATAGCAAAGACCTGGAACCAACCCAAATGCCCATCGATGATAGACTGGACAGGGAAAATGTGGCACATATACACCATGGAATACTATGCAGCCATCAAAAACGATGAGTTCGTATCCTTTGTAGGGACATGGATGAAACTGGAAACCATCATTCTCAGCAAACTGACACAAGAGCAGAAAATCAAACACCTCATGTTCTCACTCATAGACACCTTGATCTTGAACTTTCAGTCTTCAGAATTGTGAGAAAACATATTTCAGCTGTTGTTTAAACCACCTCATCTGTGTATTTTGCTATTGCAGCCCTAGCAAGCTAATACAGTAGTCCGATGCAGCTTATCTGCCAGATCAAGACATTGTTTTAAGCTTTAGCCCCCTGTATGCATCTGCATATAAGCTGTGTATTTGTCCGTATATATATGCATAGATGGATGTCTAAATGGGTACTGTTCTAATTGTTCACATTGTTTACCTCTTTGTGGTGGGATTATGGATGAGGTTTAAAAATTATTTGTGTTTTTCTGTTGTGTTTGAATTTTAAAAATGATTTGTATGTCTTATTTGTGGAAAGACCAAAAAAATCGACTTTAAAAAAACAAAACAAAAAAAAAAACAAGGACCTCTCCTCAATAGTAATTTATTCTGGCTTAAGTAGCCCCTTTTCTCCTCTGGGACAGACCTGAAATATTAAACAAGCAGAAAACCTCCAGTCCAGAAGAGCAGACACTAAACGAACTCCGATATGACCCAACATTTCTTGCTGCCTGGGCATTTTTAGAAAAAGCCTTATTTGTTTTGTGATATTAGTTATCAAAGTACTATTTATCAGGAAATCTCCTTTTTTTCCCTATTTTTTTACATAGATAATATGAAAAGCCTCAGAAACTCTCCTTTTAAACTCAGAATACACAAATAAGACTAGAACCCCATGTAAATGAACTCCTTGCTGGTGTATAAAATTAATGAAAGGTGCTGCATTTAAGGATAGAGATCAATTATAAGCCTTATTTCCACAAGAAAAAGTTTGGCCTTTTAAAAGCAATACTTCAGGGTTCGGGCACGGTGGCTTACACCTGTAATCCCAGCACTTTGGTAGGCTGAGGTGGGTGGATCACGAGGTCAGCAGATCAAGACCATCCTGGCCAACACGGTGAAACCCGGTCTGTACTAAAAATACAAAATTAGCCGGGCGCGGTGGCACATTCCTGTAATCCCAGCTACTCGGGAGGCTGAGGCAGGAGAATCGCTTGAACCCGAGAGGAAAAGTTCTGGTGAGCAGAGATCGTACCATTGCACTGTAGCCTGGGCAACAAGAGCAAAACTCTGTCTAAAAATAATAACTAAAAAATAAATAAAAGCAACACTTGGAGTTGATTAAATCTCTTATTATTAATTAGATTTTTTCTTCTGCAGTGAAAAAAAGATTAAAGTCTTTGAGAGCTGTGAGAAAGACTGAAGATTATTTGACTCAGACTTTTCTCCATGCAAAACACCCCCCACCCTAACTCAACTCTGTAAGAGAGGAAACAGAACAAAATGGGTGAGGTGACACCTCCACTGTGACGAGCACCTCAGCTACAAACAACTGCAGCCAAGGCTTGGTGCAGTAGGAAACATCACCAAGCAGAATTCCAAAGGCCTCAGTTTAATAGCGAGGTGAGCCCATCACAAGGAGATTCTCAACCTTGGCTGCACATTCAAATCACTTGGGGGAGAGTTTTAAAAGTACATGCTCCTGGGCTACTATGTTGGAGACATAGATGAAACGGTGTGGCGAGGGGCCTGGACATCAGCGTTTCTAAAGCCCCTTGTAAGTGATTCTTGTCTATCACCAGGGTCAAGTGCCTCCTGATGATCCACTCATCTACTCTGCTCTGCAACAGACAGCCCCAAACCCACCCACAAACACATGCTGAGACTCTGATGTGGTCGCAGCAGTTGTGAAAGTGCTAAGTGCCTCTCGAGTACTTTCTGTATATAAATAAAGGAAAGGGTGTTACCTGTAGGGGTCTTTCATCTGTCACCCTCGGAAGAAGCTGATGAGAAAGGCGCACAGGGCCTGAAAGGGTTTCCAACAGTGTTCCCAGGGCTGCTTCTTTGCTTCCTGATTCCCTCCAGGCCTGGGTGCAGGCTGGGTAGCTTTGGCTGTGAGTTGGGTGGTGGGTTTGGCTTTTCCAAGCTCTTCCATCGAGTCCTTTCCCAGCTGTCTTGCTTCTGTGGGTTTCACTGAGGCCTTGGGACTCAGAGATGGCATCCCAGCCTCGGGGTGCTGGTTGGGCACTGGGCTGCCCTTGAGGCTGGAAGTCACCTGCTGCATGTGGGCCTGGGGCCCAGCCTTCCTGCACACAGATGGCCTCAGCACCGGGGCTCCCTGGCATGCGTGGTGAAGACGCCTCAGCTCCTGCAGGGCTTGGTTCCAGTAAGGTTGGGGGTCAGTAGCGAAAGCCTGGCACATGCTGGGCTGCCCCCTGTACTCACACCAGTACGTCTGATCTGTGTTGTGGCAATCGATGCGAAGCCAGACTTCCCCGGCACCTTGCCCCAAGCTGCTGGGGCGCATAGTGCAGGAATCTCTCCCTCCAGTTTGGAAATGGAATTCCTCCCCAGTGATTCCTTGCTTTTGCCTTGGGGCCTGACCCAAAGTCCCCAGGCAGGACAAGGTCACCAGCAGGAGGCACGGGATGAACTTCATGGCGATGCTCTAATTAACCCGCCTGCAACACTGCACCAGGAGAGAGAACTCAAGTGGGACGAGTCACCCTTTAAAGGGTGCTGCACAAAAGACTCTTTCTCTGCAAGAGTGGGAGGGTGTTTTGCAGCAAATGCGAAACATGACCACAGAACTTGGACACATAACACTTGGCAGGGGCAGTGCAGCCACCAGGGGCTGCCTACCACAAGCAAAGGGAATGGTTTTCCTGAGTGCATCAGAGAGCTCTGCCCCAGCTCTGTCACACACAAAGCACTACACACAGCTTTGGAGTTGAGGGTTTTACAGTTTTGCAACCATGGGGAGCTTGCTCTAAAATTGGCCCTTGTATGGGAACAGCCTTCTTTGTCAACATTTGGTATGTGCCAAGGTGTGGCAACGGAGTTCTGGAAAGAGAGGTTTGCAGTTCAGAGTCTGGGCTGCCTCGAGGCTCCCTCCTGCTCCCCATCTTGGGGAACCGCGGGTTTAGTTAATCCAAAGGATGCCAGAGTTTTGTGAGCCTAGGTCTTATGAGATGGTCTAGCAAATGCAAAAAATTATCTGTGATGTTTAAAAAAAGGAATTGTGTGAAGGTGTGTGTACTAAGGGAATACAGAAACGATCCCCCTCCCACCCACCGAGCTGAGACGAGGAAAGCATGCAAATATATGTTCACACTGGGATTCAGTCTATTTTAGACCATGAATTCTATTTCAAATTCAATTGAAATAACAGTGTTTTAATTATAGCACAGAAAAGTATGATTTTAAATATTATCATTATTGTGCTAAAATAGGAAATAAAGCAAAATAAATTGAAAATAACTTCTGGTTCTGTGTCAAGTATCATATTTTTCTATGGTCATAAGTGTCTTTTGGTGACCCTTCCAGAGGGCACTGTGGAGTGGACAAAAGGTGGTAATTTGTTGTTAGGGATAGAATTGACAGACATTGGGAGACTAGTTGGAATGTGAGGGATTTATCTTGGAGATCCCACCTTCAAGACAAATCAGTTAACTTGTCAGGTTAAGAAGGAATAAAGGACAGTGTGTGTGTGTGTGTGTGTGTGTGTGTGAGAGAGAGAGAGAGAGAGAGAGAGAGATATGGACCTCACTCTGTCACTCTGTCACCGAGACTGAGTTGCAGTGATGTGATCGTAGCTCACTGTAGCCTCCAACTCCTCGACTCAATCACACCTCTTGCCTCAGCCTCTCAAGTAACTGGGACTACAGGCATGAGCTACCACATCCAGCTAATTCTTAAAATTTTTAGCTTTTAGGGACAGGGTCTCATTATATTGTCTAGGCCGATCTCAAACTCCTGGTCTCAAGAAATCCTCCTGCTTCCTTGTCCTCTGGAGTTACTGGAATTACAGATGTGAACCACCACAACCAGCCAAGGGTAGGTTCTTTTTTATTTTTTCCTGGAGACAATCGCACTTTGCCACCAAGGCTAGAGTGTAGTGGTGAGATCTCAGCTCAGTGCAACCTCTGCCTCACAGGTTCAAGTGATTCTTCTGCCTCAGCCACTTGGGTAGCTGGAATTACAGGCACTCACCACCACACCCAGCTAATTTTTGTATTTTTAGTAGAGACGGGGTTTCTCCATGTTGACCAGGCTGGTCTTGAACTCCTGATCTCAAGTACTGAGTTAGCCTTGAGGACTTAGCCTTCCAAAGTGCTGGGATTACAGGCATGAGCTACCGGCATGGCCAAGGGCAGGTTCTTAAGGCAGGACACCGCTTCCCGTAAAAGAGTGCTCCTAGAGGTCGGGTTTATGGACTGCTGAAATGTCAAGGGCAAGGAGGCAGCGGTGAGACACAGCCTGGAGAGGTGACTCAGGGTTGAGTCCGTGGCCCCAGTATCAGTCCACAGGGTCAATTCTGAGACAGAGGTTTGGCTTTTGTGTGCTTCTGATTCAGGAGGCCCTGGAGTAAGCAGCACTGCAAGCCAGGCTCCATGTCGTGGCCAGAGGAAGGCGGGTGTTCAGCTCCAACCTCCTTTCCCCCACCCACCACAGTGTTGCAGGAAACAGCTTGCTAGACCCATCCAGCCACCCTGAGTTTATGGCCAGCCCTTTTCAATGCCCTAGTGAGGTTGAGTTTACCTTGCAATGGGAACTTACCATAAGAGTGCTAATCATGCTCTTTCACCTTTTGCTTTTGGAACAAGCCAATCCTCAAGACCCTTGTGCTAGTTGTGCCCACTCTGTGAACACAGCATGCCTGGCTTCTTCCTGCCACTTTCGCAGAAACCTTCCCTCACTATACAATGCAAAGGAGTTCTTCTGTTCCTCTATCACTTCATCCTGCTTCAACCCTCTTGAAGGTGGTGATTTCTTTCTTATTTGCTTGTTCATCTTTAAATGTGGAGTATCATAATCAGATTTGCACTGTAAGAAAATGCAGTATTGAGGAAAGATTGGTGGTGGCACAGGCTGTGCACAGGGAAGGGAGTGGGCAAGATGGCTGTGTACAGGCTGAGTTGCTGTAACAAAAAGACCCTCTCTACTATGAGCCAGTCTTCCAGTTTCATGCTCAGCAGTTCTTCAGATTTAACACATGGCTTCCAAGGTTTGTTTGATTGCTGCCATCTCCAGTGGAATAAGTCAAGGATCTGCAGTTTTGTCTTAGTAGATACTTCATTTACTTACCGCGGGTCAAAGCCTAGTCACTCACCACACCTAGCTGCAAGGGAGTCTGGGAAATGTAGTGCTCACAAGATAGCCAAATGTCTAGCCAAAACTCAGGGGGCTGGAAGCATAAAAGAAAAAGGAAAATGCCCCACTAGCCAAGAGACATTATGAAAACTTTAATAGGGTATTGTCCGTGGAGATGGAGAAGAAGCTTGGCAACCACGGGTAGATGGAAGGGAGAGGGAAAGCTGACTTAAGAGATTCCTCTGGCTCCAGTGATATGATGAAGGTGGAGCAATTCAAGAATGGGAACATGGCTGGGAGAGCTGTGGGGGTGTGCAGGTCAGGACAGTGGTTTAAGGCAGGGGCCATAAACTGTGGCCCATGTGGCCTGCTTTTGTAATTTTGGGAGAACACAGCAATGTCCATTCACTTACTTATTGCCTATGGCTACTTTTATGCTACAACAGAGTTAAGGAGACATAGGCCACATGTTCCAGAAAACAAAACATATTCACCATCTGACCCCTTACAGAGAAAGGTTGCCAAACTCTGGTTTAAGGTGCATCTGGGTGGAGGCATGTCGTGAATACAGGGGTGGCCAGAGCTCTACTCTGACGAGAGAACCAAAGGGGGCAGTTGAAGCAATAAGTGAATGAAATCACCCAAGGAAAGAGTGAGGGGTGGGCTAGGAGAGAACCTGTGAATGCCACCTAAATTTAAGGATTGGAGAGATGAGCATTGGAAGGAGACTGAGGAATAGAGAGCCAAGCTCCAGGAGGACACTGGAGAGAAATGCTTTGGGAGCCTGAAGGGAGATTTTTGTAAAGGGGCTATGTTCACAAAAGTCAAGTCCTCAATAACCCCAAAAGGAGCTCTTCAGGAGTGGTGGAGACAGAAGCCAGGTTGCAGGAGTTGAAGAACCAATGGAGGTGAGAAACTGGATATAGAGATGTGTAGAGAATTCTTTTATGGAAATTATTTGTGAAGAGAGAGGGAAAAAAGAAAACATGCTGTTCTGCCAGGCTGAGTGTGCAGTGGGGTTGAGGAAAGGCTGATTTTTTTTTCTTTTCTTTTCTTTTTTTTGTTGAAATGGAGTCTCCCTCTGCTACCAGGATGGAGTGCAATGGCACGATGATAGCTGATCGCAAGCCTCCCAGGTTCAAGAGATTCTCCTGCCTCAGCCTCCTGAGTAGCTGAGACTACAGTTGCATGCCACCACATCCAGCTAATTTTTGTTTTTAGTAGAGACAGGGTTTCATCATGTTGGCCAGGATGGTCTCAATCTTCTGACCTCGTGATTCACCCTCCTCGGCCTTCCAAAGTGCTGGAATTACAAGAGTGAGCTGCTGTGCCCTGTCAGGCTGATTTTTTTTTTTTTTTTTTTTTTTTTTTTTTTAGGAAAGATAAGAACTTTAGGACCATATCCTTCCACTGCATGTTTGGTGATTTGAGATACTGAAAAATAAATAGGTAAAAGTTGCAAGAGTGACACTAGTAGTACTAAGTTGGCTTGAATAACTTGAATTATTTAAATGGGTGATAGAAAGATCAGGTTTTCAAAAAATGGGAAGAGATAATTTCCTCCAAAAGAATTATACACTATATAGTCTTGATTAAATTGCAAGCTTCTTGTGTGTAGTTTTAAAAAATTCATTTTTACTTATGTATGTTTAGGAGTACATCAGGCAAAGTAAAGTTTGCCTAGAGTTGGTATTCAATTGCGTATATTGTGATCTAGACAGTTCCCTAAGAAATGATGACTTTAGATCTGAGAAAGGGAGGATCTAAAAAAAAAAGCCCGCTTTGACCATTTGAATTACTTCTGTATAATGGGTCCTTTAATAATAAGAAAATAACAGAATACATTCACAAATAACATATGCCCAAATTTCAGCATCTAAGTTGTGAGTCTCTGGATCTGTTCAATGAAGCAACATACAGATCATGTTTTCCAAGATAGTTTTTATTGAAATAAATCCGAACTGCATTCTGCACATGAGAAGACCTGGGGGAAAACCTACCTCCAGAATTTCATTATGCCAATGTTAAATTTTGTCCGACTGGTTTTTATTGTTGATGATTTTTGATAATGACAGATCCAACATGAAAATCCTAAAGCAAATGGATATTTACCTTGTGCTTTCATGTATATTTAGGGACCAAACACAAAGGATTCATCCATGCTGGACACCAAATCTAAGAATTGTGACAGGATCTTCTCATATTTCATTTTAGAACCCTTGCCACTAGTCAGGTGATATTCATGGTAGCTGCATTCCATTTAATGTTTACCCTAATTCAGGCATCCCCAAACTTTTACACAGGGGTCCAGTTCACTGTCCCTCAGACCGTTGGAGGGCCGCCACATACTGTGCTCCTCTCACTGACCACCAATGAAAGAGGTGCCCCTTCCTGAAGTGCGGCGGGGGGCCGGATAAATGGCCTCAGGGGACCGCATGCAGCCCGCGGGCCGTAGTTTGGGGATGCCTGCTAATACAACAGAAGACTCTGTTAAAGTGTACACTGTAATTGGCATCTGTTAAAACAGCTCCACTTTTGAACGAACAGCATTTCTTTCTCTCAAGATCTCTCTTTCTATTCTAAATTTGCCAGATGGAGTTACACAGGTTTCTCTGTGATTGTTTCTGCATGCCATTTCCAAATGGAACATGATCAATCTTTGATAAATAATAGATGAAAATTCTCTGAACAAAGAATATGCTGTAGGTTTCATACACTTTTAGTGGAAATGGATTATTTTCAACAGCACCAAGAAGTCAACGGTGACTTATTTAGCTCATTTAGAAGAAAATCCTACAATACTCGTTTGTTTAAAAAACTCTGTGGTAACAAAAGGTATATACACCATTTACTGTACACAAAATGCATCTTTCCTGTAAACCAGTGTGTGTTTAGCCACTCCACACATGGCAATATGTTAGAACTTAGCCATCACATTTGAACAGCGTTTTGACAGAGATGCATCCAATGGGAACAAACACCCCGTATGTTGTAGTGTTTAAATAGAAACTTGGTATGAAAAAGTAAAAAACAAAAATAGGGTGGGAGGGAGTCATCCTTGGAGAGTGATGGACCTTGGGCTGTAAGTGTGATTGTGTTCATTCTTAAAGCGCTACCCAGAGACCAATGACGCCATTTTCTTGTTCCCTGCCTGAGTCACTACGTCACCACTGGCGTTCCTCCTGGATTTGGAAAGTCCTTGTAGGCCCAGAAACTACCAAAAATAGTTGATCCTCTCCACTTTGAGTATCCTGATGCTGAAATGAAAGTTGAACAAAATTTTAGAAATTGTTTTTGAATTAATAAAAAGAAAACCAGGAATGCATAATCTTAAAATTGTCCCCACCAGGAGCCTAAGAACTAAAGAAAATATAAATTTTTTTTTTTTTTTTTTTTTTTGAGGCGGAGTTTCACTCTTGTTACACAGGCTGGAGTGCAATGGCGCGATCTCGGCTCACCGCAACCTCCGCCTCCTGGGTTCAGGCAATTCTCCTGCCTCAGCCTCCTGAGTAGCTGGGATTACAGGCACGCGCCACCATGCCCAGCTAATTTTTTGTATTTTTAGTAGAGACGGGGTTTCATCATGTTGACCAGGATGGTCTCGATCTCTTGACCTCGTGATCCACCCGCCTCGGCCTCCCAAAGTGCTGGGATTACAGGCTTGAGCCACCGCGCCCGGCGAAAATATAAATTTTTTTCAAGAGGCACAGAAATATGTTTGTTGTAAAACAATTAGTTAAAATACAGAAATATAGAAAAAAATTGTTATTTTTGTTTGCTTGGTTTTTTTTTTGTTCATTTGTTTTTTCAGACGGAGTCTCGTTGTGTCACCCAGGCTGGAGTGCAGTGACACAATCTCAGCTCACTGTAACCTCCGCCTCTTGAGTTCAAGTGATTCTCCTTCCTCAGCCTTCCAAGTAGCTGGGTTATAGATGTGTGCCACCACACCCCACTGATTTTTGTATTTTTTAGTAGAGACGGGTTTTTGCCATGTTGGCCAGGCTGGTCTCGAACCCCCGACCTCAAGTGATCCACCCACCTTGGCTTACCAAAGTGCTAGGATTTCAGGCATAAGCCACCAGGCCTGACCAGAAAAAAAACTTTTTTTAAAGTCTGTAATACTCAAGGTACACAATTGGCACACAGATTTCAAGATTTTTGTTGGTTTGTTTTTTAAGAGACAGGGTCTTACTGCGTTGTTCAAGCTGGAGTGCATGAGTGTGTTGGCAATTCACAGGTATAGTTGTGGTTCACTGCATCCTTGAACTCCTGGGCTCAAGCAATCCTCCTACCACAGCCTGCCTCCCACCTCAGTAGCTGGGACTACAGGCAGGCACCATCATGCCTGCCTTATTTTTTTACTCTAAAAAATCCTTTTTTTTTTTGAGACAGAGCCTTGCTCTGTTGCCCAGGCTGGAATGCAGTGGTACGATCCTGGCTCACTGCAACCTCTGCCTCCCAGGTTCAAGCAATTCTCCTGTCTCAGCCTCCTGAGTAGCTGGGATTACAGGTGCCTGCCACCACAACCAGTTAACTTTTTTTGGTAGAGACAAGGTTTCACCATGTTGGTCAGGCTGGTTTCAAACTCCTGACCTCAAGTGATCTGCCTGTCTTGGACTCCCAAAGTGCTGGGATTACAGGCATGAGCCACCATGCCAGGTCTTATGTTTTACTCTTAAAAAAAAAAACTTATTTTTACACTATACACACACATGCTCATTGTGTGTGTGTATGTGTGTGTGTATATACATATATATATATATATATATATATATATATGTAAACACACATTTATATAGCAATGTATGTATATACAGAGAGAGTGATTGTATAGTATATATACGCAGTCGTCCCTCAGGTTCCGTGTGGGATTAGTTCCAGGACTCCCACGCACATCCTCCTGCATACTGTATATCATCTCCACATTACTCACAGTACCAAATACAATGAAGGTGCTATGTAAGCAGTTGTTATGCTATATTGTTTTTCTAATTTTTATTTTTGTACTGTTATTTAAAAAATTTTTTAAGAATATTTTTGATCCATAGTTGGTTGAAACTGTGGATGTAGAACCTGCAGGTACAGAGGGTAAATTGGATATATAAAATCATCATGTCCAATATACTGATCTAGATTTCTCACTTAATGTATTAGGAATAGCTATGCTTTGATGTTCTAAAAACTAAAAACTATAGTTCTATAGATTCTCTTCAGTGGAAGCATGAAACTTACCTCAAGCAATTTCAGCGTCAGCTATCAATGTTGTGATGGGCTAAAAAACAAAAAAATAAAGAAATATAATACCTCCAGAAAAGCTGTGGGTGGTTTCATCACCTCTGTGTTAAGAAGCAGGCATGTGACTAAAGGTACAGATGAAGCTAAACCATACCCCTTAAAGTTTATCAGGAAGAATGTGTCAAACAAAACATTGGTTACTCTAGCTCCTGCTTGCATTGCCTCTAAAAAGAGAATAAAATATAAAGAGGATAGATAAACAGACTATGACAAGTGGAACTGTGAATATTCACAATCTAAGGCTAAAAGTGCTAAGAGTCACTAAGAATACGTGTTGAAGACATTAGACCAGCAGCAATGCAGTGCACACCAATCTACCACAAGAGTCTTTCTGAAGTCTGCTTCTAGACAGAAGACAGAAGCAAATGGAAGTTCTGCAGGGACCTTATTACAAGTACAAATTCCTGGGTGTGAGCCAGATAGTACACATGTCCTCAAAGTGGCTCTCCAGGTGAACCGTCAACAGAAGCCCTAGTGGTAACTAAAGCGACTCTGTGATAATGGCCTTGACAACCAAAAAGGTATACACTAGGGGGTGACTAGTGAGCTCCACCTGGAAGGTCTGCAGTTCCAACTCTTTCACCACCCTCCCCGAATGTGACTTTGGGAGGATCACAACCCCTCTGAACCTGCAGGATCCACCCCGTCCCACTGCAGTGCTGCATCAGACACATGACTGAGGGAGGATGTGCACAGAGGACATCAGGGCACCTGCCAGGTAAGACATTCCTTGTAAAGTGTTTCACTTTAGAAACTGCATATGCTTGGTTCTGTGTGCCTCTTCTTGAACTACTCTTTATGCTTTCCGCAAAGAAACAAATTCTTTATTGAAAGGGCTCAAAGGGCCCCTGGAAAAGGGTACAGGAAGGGGCTGGCTCGATCTCTTGCTACTGTCCACATCATCAGGACCTGGAGCTGAACATTATGAAGGACTGTAGGCTCTGGCGATCACTTCTAATGAACACTTACATTTGCCTTATTGAACAGAGGGATGTTGGGCACACTAACAAGATCACTGGTTCTTCTCCTCCTGCCTAGCAGTGCCTCTCCTCCAGACAGTATATCTGTCCTATTCTGGAAGAGAAGGAACTCCAGAGACCTCAGAAGCAGGAAATGAGCAAAACAAACCAATTTAAGCAGTGTCTTAGTCTGTTTTCTGCTACTATAGCAGAATATCAGAGACTGGGTAACTTACAAAGAAAAAAATATGTTTTTCACAGTTCTGAAGGCCACGAAGTCCAAGAGCCTGGTGTTGGCATCTGGCGAGGGCTTTCATGCCTCATCACCCCATAGAGAAAGGACAAATGAGCACAAGAGACAGACAGGGAATGGGGTAGAACTTCCTCTTTTTACAAGAGCCCACTCCCATGATAATGGCATTAATTTATTTATGAAAGCAAAGCTCTCATGACCTAGTCACCTGTCCAAGGTCTCACCTGTTAAAAACAATCACAATGGCAATTAAATCTCAACTTGAGTTTTGGAGGGGACAATGAAACTGTAGTAAGCAACTAAAACTAATCCTGGAAGCTCCTGATGTGAGAGGAACAATGGGCCTTAGAGGAGACCATAACTGGAGGACACATTTCTTCAGGCCATTAAGATTTGGGCTCTGAATGATAATATCCTGGTGACAACACAATAAAGTAATAAAATAAAGAAGGTCAATACATGACATCCAAGACTCTCCTCTCCCCAGAGTGGACATTACACACTGATGGATTGTAATCCAGTCAGTCTGGATTAAGCCTGCAGATTTCAATTAACACAGGGCTCTGGGCAACCTGACCAACAGAGAAAAGATGGCCCAGGAGGTGGAATCTGTTTGCCACTGATGCACTGTCCCCTTCACAGAAAAAGGAAGTTCGTGGCCCCTGAAGAAACTGAAACATAACACAAAGGAAGGGGCTCCAAGCACCCTCTACAAGACCTATGCAGCCAGAACCTACACAGCTAAGGGTCAGCTGTTGTTCATGTAGAATTCCCTGGGATCCACCTGCTTCCTCCTCCAGGCTGCGGAAATGCAGCCTCCTACTTCTGTCTAAGAATCTGACTGTGTGCTGTGGCTCACACCTGTAATCTAGCACTTCAGGGTAGATCACTTGAGGTCAGGAATTCAAGACCAGCCTGGCCAATATGGTGAAACTCCATCTTTACTAATAACAAAAACTTAGCTGGGCACGGTGGTATGTGTCTGTAATCCTGGCTACTCAGGAGGCTGAGGCACAAGAATTGCTTGAACCTGGGAGGCAGAGGTTGCAGTGAGCTGAGATCACACCACTGCATTCCAGCCTGGATGACAGAGTGAAACTGTGTCACAAACAACAACAACAACAACAACAAAAAAGAATCTACAGCAGAACTAGCAAGAAGATCCAGTTAGGGAAACATTGGTAACTGAGAACAGTTGTCCTCTGATCTTGAAAATTTCAGTCCATAAATATACCCTGAAGCATGCTATACCATGAAAAGGAAGGCCAGTACATTCTGCAGGCAACCACCTGTCTACTCTCCCCAGAGCACACCTGGCTAATCGACACTTAAATCAATCTTCAACTCTGTCACAACACAGCACTCTAGCCTTGCATCCTGGAAGTATCAGAGGAGATGAAGTCAATTTGCCATTTCAGAACTTTGTTTTTATTATCACCATTTCGGCTATGCACTGAATGTTTGTGCACTGCTAAAATTCACACATTGAAATTGTAATCAAGGTGACGCTAATAGGAAGTGAGGCCTTCCGGTAGGTCATTAGATCACGAAGGCAAAGCCCTCATTAGTGTCTCATTAATGCCCTTAGAAAAGACACCCCAAGGAGCCAGCTTGCCCTTTCCACCAAGTGAGGATTTGGCAAGACACCGCCACCTACGGGAAAGTGGTCCTTCACCGGACACCGCATCTGAAGGCACCTTGAACTTGTATTCCCAGACTCCGGAACTGTGAGAAATAAACACTGTTGTCTATAAGCTACCCAGTTTAAGGCATTTTGTTATAGCAGCTGGAATGCACTCAGATAACCTCCCTTCCCCTAAATGGAAAATTATAATGAAAAGTTCTGAAGTTTTTACAATGTTCAAAGTTTTAAGTTCGGGAAGCCACTTATCCTTCTGAAAGGACAAATTTTAATGACTTTCCAGTTCTGTTCATCTTGAAATCTGACAAAGGTGGAGCATCAACCATTATTAGATAATATTGCTTGAGATAAGGATGTGCCTGACTGGTAAGCAGCTTCTGGTCTGGGAGGCTCTAAATATAAATACCTAGTGTGAAGCCAAAGCTGTGCGCTTCTCTGAATGTGGGCACTTTTAACTGGATGCCTCCCATGTGGAGCGTGGGCCTTCTAAGGTGGATCCGCCACCCCATGCACCAACGTTAGACTCACTCTTTTGTATCTGAGACATCACTGTGGGGAGCAGAGGGGCGGGGAGCACTAGGGGGCCAGTGCCTGGGTGTGGGAAGGACCATGCCCACTGAAGAGGATAGCCCACTGCTGACCTGCTGCCCTGCACACTATGGCTCTACCTCTTCTGAGCAGATGGGTCCCTGGCTGACGTGTGGGTCTGAATTCTTAGTAGAATCTCAGAATAGGACTGACCTCTGGCAAGCAAAGCTCAGAGTTACCTGACATATAATAGATACAAAACCACAGAAGCTCCTTAAATCTAGAGAATGTAAATTCATAAAGATTTTTGCAGGAAGAATTAAGGTTCTTTTTCTGGTTGGTTACAGTTAATTTATAGGAAGGAAGGAAGGAGGGGAGGAAGGAAGGAAGGAAGGAAGGAAAGAAAGAAGGAAGAAAGGCAGGCAGGAAGGAAGAAAGTAAGGAAGGAAGGAGGGGAGGAAGGAAGAATGGAGGGAGGGAGGAAGAAAGGAGAGAGGGACGGAAGGAGGGAGAGAAGGTAGGAAGGAAGGAGGGAGGAGGGAAGGAAGGAAGGAAGGAGGAAGGGAGGCAGGGAAGGCAGGAAAGAGACAGAGAGGGAGGGAGGAAGGGAGGGAGGAAGGGAAGAAGGGAGGGAGGAAGGAAGGGAGAACTTTGAAAACTGTAACTACTCAGTTTATTTGGTGTGGAGAATTTCTCAATGCAAGGTATGCATACATTTAATCTGTAATGATCTGCAGCCATACACAGCGATTTAAGATGACACCAAATTTCAGTTGCTGAACAATTCCATTGTTTAGAAATCAATTGAACATTTAAACTCATGGCATCATGGAAAGCTATGTAGAGCATGATTGGAGACTAGCATTGATAAAGTATCACACAGAGAGAAGTGAAGGCATCAACAGCATGCAGAAAATTCAGTGTTGATCTACAGGAGATGAGACGGCTTATCACAAGATAGGCATGCACTTCCAGACTTTGCTTTACCTGGTCATAACAGGATTGTGAATACCATATAAATGATCTTTATGATAACCATTATTACCATTTTCCATACTGTAACAAAATAAATACACCAAAAACACCACATTATCTCTAAGATGAAGTATTTACACCATGGATTACAAAGACAATGTAATGGTCACGAAAAATAACAATTTGTTAAAAAAAAAAAAAAAAGACCAATGAGTAATTTACATTTTGCTCCTTTTAACCTTCAAAGACCAAATGACTACTTTATAGATTAATAAACTTAGCATATAAAATTTTCATTAATTTATCAAATATTTCTTGAGCACCTTCTATGTGCCAGCCCTCTTTTTAAGAGGTGTTGTAATTTATTTTTGCCCAGACAGATCTGTTGTTTCTATGTAATTTTAAGACATTAATAAGTTAATCTTTGAAGTCCATTACATAATAATATAGACCTCCCCCATCCCATCTAGCAATATAGTTAAAAAAAAAAAAAAAGTCTTACTTTTTCATGGGTATGGTTTCAACACTATAAAATACAAAAAAGGAGATGAAATTAATTTTTAAAATTATTATTAAAGCTCAGCAACTACATCCCCCATGTATTTACTGTAACACAGATACTGACAGTGCAAATTCAGGAGAGACCCATGTTGAAAGATGAGTGAAGTGAAAAATGAGGCATACAAATTCACCAGACACAGAATGAGGGGCAGACTGTCCAGCCAAAATGGAAAGAGTAAAAACAGTTATCATAAAGTGAAATGCCAGGTCCCTGAGAGAGAGGAACTGCAAACAAGAAATAAAAAGGCTGGTTAGGGAAGCTGAGAGCATTAAGCAAGAGAAAAAAAGTACTTAAAACAAGTATAGAAAAATCAGTACCAAGGAAAAAAAATCCACCTGAACAGAAAAGACCTAACTACTTAAAAAAAAAAAAAAAAAAGAAAAGAAATCAAGTTTAACCTCATCAGAGCTCATCTTTAGGAACTCTTTGAAGGCAGTAGTACCACCTAAAAAATGACCCCCGTGTCTGTGGAAGCCCGCATACTTACTCATCGTACACATCCTCCGAATCCATTCGACGATAGTACTTCGCCAGTTTTACCGCAAAAATTAGAGCCGGAAGTAAAAATACAGTAGCTTTTCCTATGCCAAACCAAAACAAATTCTAGGGGGAAAAAAAAATCAGGAGAATTAAATGTTTGAAGATGGAAAATGGAAAAAACAGTTGTTTGGGGAATTTTCTTTGGAATTTTAAAAAATGAATTGTCATTTATTCTTTAAGACCATTTGAGAATGTTGTGTGAACCAGGCACTTTGTGAAGTACTACTCAACGTTGTTAGGATTCATTTCGTAGTTCTAAAAACCTTGAGTAGATCCTATTATTATGCTTATTTTATAAAGGAGGAGCAGAAGCAGCAAGTGGTAAAGCCAGGATGCGAATCTAGTCCACTTCAACCTAACTTCTAACCACCCCAGATGAACTTTGTTTCCCTACTGTCCAGGACTCAGAGCATGGATGGCCAGCAGGTTTGAGTTTCAAACCCTCTGAGTTGTTTGTTACTAAGACGACAGTTAACCCTTCTGGCTTTGTTCTGCATCTGAGCAGTTGGGATGCCTGCATCCATAATGTTATTGTGTCAAAAAATGAGAAGGAATGCATACTGCATACTAGGGTCTCAATCAGTGTTCCACATTAAATTTAACCAATCTTGAAGATAGATAGAAGGTAGATGACCATCTTCTGTCTAAACAGCAATGTGAAAGTATCCTTTTTTAAATAGCTGCCAAGATTTGTAAGTCAGATTTCACATGTAAGCCTGGATGTATGTCTTTTCTTGAAAAATCTTTAGTTTCATCACTTAACATTGAACCCTTGTTCCCAAAAAGCAATAATCTGGAAGTGGTTCTTCCTTCAAGGGGACATTTGTCCTCAGTGGTGACAGTCTACACCACTCACTTCTGCCAAGTGATATTCCAGTGATTTAACATTATGACAAATCAGGACAAACACACAATGCGTAGATGTCACAGGTTGAATGCCACTCTGACCAGCATCCTACACTTGACCTGCTGTGTAAATCTATAACCTGCCAAGTTACTATGTAAGTTCAAGTCTGAGGATATCCCTACTTTAGGATAATGCTGTCAACAACACTAGAACGACTCTTTCCAGCCCACCATGAGGCCAAATGACACTTGGAAATAACAGCTGCTTAACCCTCACAGCCAGACCCTGCATTTCTGCTTTGCTTCTGGCTGAGTTCAGAATTACAGAGGTAGCACCTCTTGGCTCCTAATTTCCAGTCAATTTATTCTCCCTTCCCTCTATGCTCTGTTATTAGTAGATTTCTGTTTTCAACCTTGTTTTGAGAAGCTTTATAACAACCCTACCCTTTTTCTGGAAGCTACCTCAATTCTTTTGGGAACAATCAAGATACAAAAGAAACACTTTAGCCAGTCCACAGTCTATCTTATTGACTAAATGAATCCCGGAGCTCTTCCTTATGATGCAAACCATCTGCTAATAGCTCCAGCCTATGATCTTCCTGAGCAGCCTCTAGGCCTCCCCTCTGGCCCTGGTGATCTGTGGAGAGGCAACCTGTACCTAGATGGTTCGACTGAATGAGGTAGGTGATGGAGGCTGGGCATTGACCAGAGATATGTCAATGTAGAATTAAGCAGTTTGGCTCTGGGACTCCCCTAATGAAGGCTTCGGCCAAAGGTGGCGGCAGAGGCCACCAAGCGCAGGGCACAAAAGGTAGTTGCAAGAGGAAGGAAGCATCCAGGAAGCAGGGCCTAGGGTCTGTGTGGTTGGGACAGGAGCAGAATCCTTTTCACTTAGCCATGAAAGTCCCTCCAGTGGACAGATGGACAAGTGAACAAGGGAGATGGACAGACGGGCAATAGGGATGAACTTTGACAGAGAGCTACCTGACAATGCATCAGTGATCCTCTGTGTCAGGTATGATGCCAGACAACAGGGACACAGCCTTGCATGTGCTGATACCTCATGGAGTGGAGAGTCTACAGTGTGCTGGAGGTACAGGTCTTCATCAAAGAAACATATAAATATATAACTGAGACAGCAATAACATCTCCAAAGGACAAGCATAGGGTTCTGCAGGAATGTGGAAAAGGGAGCCCAACCTAGTCTGGGGGATCAGAAAAGGCTTCTTGGAAAAAAGACATGTTTGAGTGAAGACCTGAAGACTGAACAACAACAGTAGTGAACATTCACTGAGTGTTGATGTTCCAACCAGGGTTCAGGGCTTTACAGGTGACCTCTCACTGAACCATCAAAACAGCCCCATGGAGGCAAGAAACTCAGAAAATTTCAATAATTTTTCAAAGTCACAGATTTCTGAAAATGTAGAAGTGGAATTTTAATTCAGATTTGGTGTTCTTTACCATCTTGTTATGAGTTCTAGAGGAGTTAAGTCTTACAGTGGGGCATGAGTAGGTGGGAAGGGGAAGAGGAGAGAGAGAAAGGCGGTGTGTGCCCAACTCCAGTCCAGGCAGAAGAAATGATATGTGCAAAGGCCCTAAGGTGGAGAAATTGGGATGCATTTGATGAAGTGAAAGATGAGTGTGTCTGGAGTGCAGAAAGAAAGGAGGACAGGCAGACAGCACACAGTGAGATCTGGAATGGGGAGGGTCAGCCATGCAGAGCCTCGTGTGGCCTATGAAGGATCCTGATCTTTATGCAGCAACGGGAAGCCACTGAGGGACTTAGCAGAGGAAGGGAGAGGATTCCCTCACAAAGAGGGTCAGCATCTGTTGAGGAGAGAAGAGCCGAAGCTTAAGCCTGATTAACTGGAACTTACCATCCTAACAATCACATTTCCAAGGGCTGTTTAACGACAAATGAAGTTTGGTGCAACTTTGGGCTTGTATATGCAGTTGTACTGAGTATTCTTTTGAAGATTAGTGATTCGCACACCCATGACTGTCTTTCTGATTATTCTGAACTAGTAGGAGTTTTATCCCTGCAGGTCTCCTGAATTCTGTAAATATAATCCTAGTGAGGAATGAAGATAAGCTCATAGGACTTCGACTTTTCTAGTCTATCAGCATCTCAATACATTGACCAAAATGTTAGATTTTAAGTTTTGGATTCTCTCAAGCAGGAAACAAATATTATAGTGTGTAACATAATCCAGAAAAACAACCAAAGATGATGGATTCATTGCGTCTTCTTTTGAAAGATGAAATCTTACCAAAGGGTCAATAACGTAGCTACACAGAAAGACATCAACAGCAGTATCTAGAGCGGTAGCCACAGGTTTGCAGGATGCCACTTTCTCACGGATCTGGGGGGAGTGGAAACACAGGCAAACTTTGAGCCACATCCAAAAAAATCCACAGGAATGAGATATTTCTTTTGACTTGGCGTCACCAAAAGGATCTCCATGTCCTCCAAGACAGGGCTCCTCAACCCCTGAGCCACAGATGGACCAGCTGATACCAGTCCTTGGCCTGTTAGAAACCTAGCTGCACAGCAGAAGTGAGTGGCAGGTGAGCGAGCAAAGCTTCACCTCTATTCACAGCTGCTCCTCACTGCTTACGTTACTGCATGAGCTCCGCCTTCTGTCAGAGCAGCAGCAGCATTAAATTCTCCTAAAAGCTGGAACCCTACTGTAGAATTCCACATACGGGGGATCTAGATTGCACATTCCTTATCAGAATCTAATGCCTGATGATCTGTCACTGTTTCCTGTCACTCCCAGGTAGGACCATCTAGTTGCAGGAAAACAAGCTCAGGGTCCCCACTGATTCTACATTATGGTGAGCCATGTAATTATTTCATTATATATTGCAATGTATTAATAATAGAAATAAAGTGCACAATAAATGTAATGCCCTTGAATCATCCCGACACTACCTCTACCCCTGGTCTGTGGAAAAATTGCCTGCCATTAAACCAGTCCCTAGTGCCAAAAGGGGTGGGGACCACTGCTCTAAGCCATGGAGCTGCCAGCTGATTTGCATGGATGAGTTCTACCGCATGTACAGTTGCAGTTAGCCCTCTGTATCCCTGAATTCCGCATCCATGGATTCAACCGACCACAGATTAAAACATATTCAGAAACAAAAAAATGGATGGTTGCTTTTTTACTGAACATGTACGGACTTTTTCTTGTCATTATTCCCGAACCAATACAGTATACCAACTATTTACATAGCATGTACATTGTATTAGGTATTACAAGTAATCAAGAGAGACTTAAAGTATACAGGAGGATGTGGATAGGTTATGTGCAAATAGCTATACCTTTTATATAAGGAATTTGAACAACCAAGGATTTTGGTATCTGCAGGGGACCCTGGAACCAATCACCCATGGATACTGAGGGACAATTGTATGTATTTTAAAGCAAGATCCTTACTCTCTCTGAGCCTTGGTTTCCAGTTTCCTCATTTGTTTTAGAACAGTAAGACCCAACCTACAGGACTTCTGCAAGATTTTAAAAGTCCTTGTGCCCAGCATAGTGTTTTAATTCAGATTTGTTGCCTGACCCCTTTGTTACCTGACAAAGGGGGTGGAAGAAAATGGAAGAATTGCATACGGCAAAGGTGAGCGAAGGGGACCCAGGAGGTCGCTGTCCTCTGACCTGGTGGGTAGCCCCGGAAGTCTTGGTCCTGCACTTCAACAGCGTTCTACCAAATTACAGGAAATTTAATTTCGTTTCTTCCAGATTTTACCCTAGAGAATGACTGTCCTAAAACATGACCCCCATTAATGTTCATAAGAGATAAACCACTTACAGAGAACTCGATCCACTGCAGATAATGTTCAAAATATCCTGTTATTGTTCTCCCATACTTCTTAGTTTCCTGGAAAGAAACAGAAGATTAGTAGAACATGAAGGGAGCATCCTTAAACATTATGCATATTTGATCTGTAACATTCACATGCCCACTTACTGACATGCTTATTTTAAAAAAGAAGACTTGCCTCAATAATAACAGAGGAAATATTGTTTGTGATGAAGTTCTGAGCAAAATCCAGAGAAGTTAGAATCCTGGTCACTCTCTCCTGAAAAACACAGCCACAGTCATTAGGGTATCAAGTCATACAAAAATTTAGTTAGACAAGCATATTGAATCAAGTATTGTAACTCAGCCCCACAACACTATGACCTGGACCTGCTAGTTACGAGGAAGACAGAACAGACCCAGCCCCCTGAAGGCAGGAAAGGAGATGAGCTGAGAGGGAGCATTTACTCTGGACCAGATACCGGGTTAGTCCTTGGTAGGAATGGCCTTATTGGATATTCACAATGAGGCGGGAAGGAAGGTACTGTTTGTTAGGCTCCCGTTACAGATGAGGCAGCTGAGCCTCTTCAAGGTCACTATCCTGGGGAAACATAGGACAAGGCTGGGATTTGCACTGAACTTTGTTTTTCACCTCAAAGCCCATGCTCTTTGCACCATGAAACATGCAAAGACGAGTCTTCTGCCAACCCACATGGCAGCTTGGTGCAAATTGGGAGAGGGGCCTCTTTTGCCCAGGGACCTCAGTGCACAGAGCCTGTCGAGCGAGTCAACGACCAGTTTCTGCCCCTACTGTCCCCCTTGGCTGGGCCCCTCATGAAAGGCCTTGCACCATTGCACACCATTGCCCTGTGTACAGACGGAGCAAAGGACCTGCATGTAGTCACTGATGTGTTTCCAGGTTCCCCTGGCCACACACACACACACACACACACACACACACACACAAAACCACACACACACAGACTACACTCTTATGAAATGGCAACTGTGATTAGAGGCATAGGGATGGTCCTGGAGAAGAGTAAACCTAAACATCTTCATAGACGATGAGCCATGATGTTGGTCTCATTGAGAAAAGTGGAAGGAGTAACATTTAGTTTTATCTTTTGGGGCCGATACCCAAAACTTCTCATGGACAGGCTATTCCGTTCAATTAAAAAAAAAAGTCTGAGTTGCCTATTGGTACTGTAGATACAGACGAATATGACACAGCCTTGCAGCTCCCTGTCAGCTGAGGGAATGCTTGCAGCCCACAGGTGGCCCCTGGGGTAGATTGCATTAGCTGTTCAGGATTTTTGACACCCTCCTGGAGTGGCTTCTCCCAGTGTGGAGTATATTTCTCCAGCCAGATGACGATGGGCATGATCATGTGACTTGCTTTGGCCACTGGAATGCTGGTGAAGGGGGAGGGTGCCCGTTCTGAGCAGTGGCTTAAAGGGTAACCGGTGCCTCCATTCATCCCCTGAACTCCTGTCCTCCACTATGAGGACATGAGGTGCCCCAGACAGGAGCTGCTCCTTCAGACTGGGTCTCTCAATGGGAAGACTGCTGTCAAACCAGCAGGGAAAATAAACATATATACTTAGAAGGCATGGAGGTTTAGGATGGTTAGGCAGCATTATCTCTGTAAAAATGACCAATGTGCCTTCTAAGCTTGCATCCTACACATGAAAACATAGATTTCACCTACGCATGTAATAGCCTGCTAAGATGAGCTCTGCACTTATAGAAGTACATGTAGAAAGGAAATAGTAGGAAAACCAATTTGGTATTTAAAATGAGTAGATAACTGAGACTTTCTTTTTTTTTTTTCTTCATTCATTTCTTATGTGCCTAGCTTCCTTCTGATAGAATTTCTCTTATGTCTGACCTTCCTTGGCAATTTACTCAGAGAATGTTTGTAAATTCTCTAAGTAGGTCTTTATTTTATCTTTGTTCTTGAGGAATATTTTCACTGCGACTTGAGGTGAAGCCCTTATTTTTGTTGTTTTTGTTTTGTTTGTTTGTTTTGTGTTGTGTTCTGGTGACATCTTTTTTTTATTATGCACTTTTAAGGATTTTTTTTTTCACTTCCTGATTTCAAAGCTGGCTGCAAAACTAATCAAGACAGTGTGATACTAGCATAAGGAAAGACATAGAGGTTGATGGAACAGAATTCAGAGTCCAGAAATGGTTTATACAGTTGTACCCAAATGATTTTTCTTTCTTTTTTTTTTTTGAGACGGAGTTTCACTCTTGTTACCCAGGCTGGAGTGCAATGGCACGATCTCGGCTCACCGCAACCTCCGCCTCCTGGGTTCAGGCAATTCTCCTGCCTCAGCCTCCTGAGTAGCTGGGATTACAGGCACGAGCCACCATGCCCAGCTAATTTTTTGTATTTTTAGTAGAGACGGGGTTTCATCATGTTGACCAGGATGGTCTCGATCTCTCGACCTCGTGATTCACCTGCCTCGGCCTCCCCAAGTGCTGGGATTACAGGCATGAGTCACCACGCCCGGCTTCTTTTTTTTTTTTTTTTAATAAGAAAAAGAATAAAGAAGAGGAAGAAAGAGAAAGAGGAAGAGGGAGAGAGGATAGGGGTATTGCTTTATTGCCCGGGCTAGAATGCAATCTAAATATGGGTGTGCCTACAATTGTCCTTAATAATGGAGACATGAATGAAAATGAGGGAAGAGAATAACAAACAAGGAGCCAACCAACATTTCGTTTAAACTTCTAAGTTGATATGATGTGGTACTGATAAGAGTGTATATTTTGTTTATTTAAAGTGGAGAGTTCTATAAATGTTAATTACATTTACTTGTTCCAGATCAGAGTTCAAGTCCTGGATATCGTTGTTAATTTTCTGTCTCATTGATCTGTCTAATAGTAATGTTGAAGTCCCCCACTATTATTGTGTGGGAGTCTAAGTCTCTTTATTAGTCTTGTATGTCTGGGTATTCCTGTATTAGATGTGTATATATTTAGGATCTTTAGCTCTTCTTGTGGTTGCATTGATCCTTTTATCATTATATAATGTCCTTCTTTGCTTATTTTGATCTGTGTTGCTTTAACGACTATTTTATCAGAGGCAAAAATTGTAACTTCTGCTTTTTATTTATTTATTTTAGCTCTCTGTTTGGTTGGTAAATCTTTCTCCATCCCTTGTTTTGAGTCTTTGTGTATCCTTGAATGTGAGATGGGTCTGGATGCAGCATACTGATGGGTTTTAGTTTTTTATTCAAATTGCCTGTCTGTCTTTGGATTGGGAGATTTAGTCAATTTAAATTTAGAATTAATAATGACATATGTGAATTTAATACTGCCATTTAATATTAGCTGGCTATTTTGTCCATTAGTTGATGTAAATTCTTCATTTTATTGATGCTCTTTTTGGTATTTTTTAGAAAGGCTGATACTGATTGTTCCTTTCTATGTGTAGTGGTTCTTTCAGAAGCTCTTGTAAAGCAGGCCTGGTGGTGATAACCGAGACTTTCTGTTAACTTAGAGTACCTACAAAAATCTACATTTCTGGAATTCTTTGTGTGGTATTTTATAACAAAACCCCATGACAGAAAACAAAGTAAACTCTTACCAACAATCCACTGCTTGTGCGTTGAAGTATCTTGACACTTTGGTATATAGTGCTCTGGTGAACATAGATAATATTTTCAAAATTATTACATGAAGCAACCAGATCACATACCTTATGTCCTCCCCTCCCACAAGACAGCCATCAAATCTGTCTTTATACTGTAATGGTTTCATTCGAGAAAAAATAACAACACAATTAACGGTGTGAACCTTATATGCCTCTGGTGCAAGAAAACATGAAGAAAAAATTCCGGATACATATCCTGAAGCTGTGAGGGCTAGCAAATCACATGTGAGGCATCCCAGAAATCCCTTTGAACTAGGTTTGGTCAAAGTGAAAGGCATTATTTAAAACAGAGCCTGCCCGGTGAGAGTGGTTAGGCTGAATTGTTTAGACGGGACATGGGCAAACTTTATCTGTAAAAGGCCACCGTAAACACTTTAGGTTTTATCTGCCATCGTGCCAACTACTCAGTGTTGCCCTTGTAGTCAAAAGCAATCACAGAGAGTTTGCAAATGAGTGGGCATGGCTGTATTCCAATAAAACTTTATTTATAAAAACCCACAGTAGGCTGAATTTGGATGCAGGCTGCAGTTTGCAGAGGACCTAGTTTGCCAACCCCTGATTCAGATCATAGGTCACATGTAAAAAACAATTTGCTTATTTGTGGACAGGTTTCCCTAGCTCTGAAAAGGCCAGAGTCCTGTGTACTTGGAAAAAAAGTACGGTGGCTCACACCTGTAATCCCAGCACTTTGGGAAGCCAAAGTGGGCAGATCACGAGGTCAGGAGTTCAAGACTATCCCGGCTAACATGGTGAAACCCCATCTCCACTAAAAATACAAAAAATTAGCTGGACGTGGTGGCAGGTGCCTGTAATATCAGCTACTTGGGAGGCTGAGGCAGGAGAATCGCTTAAACCCAGGAAGTGGAGGTTGCAGTGAGCCGAGATTATGCCACTGCACTCCAAACTGGGCAGCAGAGTAAGACTCCGTCTAAAAAAAAAGAAAAACGCAAAACCAGCTTAAAATGTTAACTAATTTGTGTTAGGTATAAACAAGTGTATAGAAAATTGTAAAGAGCACAGGACACAAATTAAGAAAATTCAGTGAGAGGACTTTGTGAATAGTCTAATCAATTGGGAAATCAAGAGAGAAAAAAGGAGTATTGTATTGGGAACTAGTTCTGGAAGGTTTGGATGTTGGCATATTTGGATGCTGGAGCTGAGTGGATTTACTTGCTTCTCCAAACCTGAGCAAGCAGATTTAGTAATGCAGTTTCCACACACTTCTCTCCTTGACGGCTACAAATACGGCCCCCACATAAGTATACTAATACTTCCTCCTCTTTACTGAGATCCTCTGAGGTCAGGTCCTTCATCTTCATAAACTGGTAACAGCAAGGCAATTACTGATCCCAACATTTTTACATGAGGAAACTGAGAAGCTACAATAGTTTGGAGAGCTGGAAGCGGGATTTAAAAGCAGTCTGTCTGACTCCAAAGTCCACGCTCTTTCTTTGCTAGAAAATGTGGTGTATTGCATTAAGGAAAGAAGCCAGAAGATGGTGAGAAGCAAATGGAAAGGATGGAAGAGACTCCCATCGAGACAGCGGATCGGGCTAAGTGGATGTACACAGAGAAGCACTCAACCTCACTTTCACTTATTTCTAGACAAAGTTTGGAGAAAAAGAATGGAAGAATAAGTGACAGTGAGTCCTCAGCCCTGTAGCTAAACGGGGCATAGGAGGGCCTGCTCAGAGCAATGGAAACTAGAGCAAGGTGGAGGCAACAGTCACAGATTTTATCTAACTGTTCACACTCAAATGAAAAAAGGAAGGGAATAAGCAGAAGAAGGTGGCGCAATGTTTTTTTTGTCTGAAGTCCAGCTCAACTGCTGGGGCTGAGGCCAGTCAGCTGGGACCTATGAGAGATGAGCATGTGTCATAAGGCTAAGTGCAAGCCAGCTAGCTACAGGAGATTTGCTCATGTCACAGTGAAACACAATGTGTTGTTGACTGTTACCAGTGATTGCTCTATAGGAAGGACGCGTTGCTGGTGAATCGTTTTAATAGTCTGTGCATCTCTTTTCAGGGAGTTCCTCAAATTTCCTGGGGGCTACAAAAAGAATAAAAAACAAAGATCAATACTATCTTTCCAGACTCAAAGCACTCTCTCTACCCTCAGGGGCCTGTGCAGCCAGGAGGGATGCTATGATGTGAAGCATACAGCCTTCCTTGTGCCATGATGGTGGTGAGCGGGCATGGGGGCTGGTGTAAGGGACAGTGCCAAGACACTCCTTCAAATCACAGAACCATGGGCTCTTAGCAATAACGCACACTCATGCGACCTTCCTGAGTGCCAGAGGCTGTGTTATCTCCACCTCACCATGATATAGCCGCTATCAGTTTTCCCATTTTACAGGTGATAAAACCAAAGCTCCATGGAGAAATTTTTATTTAACCCATGCTCAGTTAGTATTTATTAATGAATAACAATCCTATGAGGTAGGATACCATTACGCCATTTTACACATGAGGAAACTAAGGCAGAAGGGAGAAATAACTTGCCCAAGCTCCTATCATTAATAAGAAGCTGAGTCAAGACTTAAACCCATTACTTCCTCAAAAGCCTCGGTTCCTTGTCACCACGGTGTGCTGCTTCTTGGACGGGACTAATTAAGGCCAAGTAGTCACCAACCAGCAGAGGAGTTGAATGGGGAAGCTTATGGGGCTCAGGTGGTATCTCTGCCTTCCCTCACCACTTACTATCGGTAATTCAAAGCAACACATGACATCTTCCTCTCACAGCCCCAGGTACTATTCCCTACACTGCAGGAAAACAGCCTGGTACATGGATGTGTGTGGTTAGAAGTGGAGGGGTTAACAGGAGTGGAAACAGATCCAGAGCTAAAGCAGTGAAGGTGCCCACACTTGGAGCAGAGGGTGGGAGGCTGCAGTCACCTTGAGATAGAAGGCAGTTGGGACTCCGGACCAGATTGAAGACTGGTGAGAACCAGGAAGAGGAGCCCAAAGTACCTCTACCTGTCCATCACCATAAAGCATGCTAACCCCCGTACCATGACAGTTTCCCGTTGCCATGGCAACACTGGGAAGTTATCACTCATTTTCTAGCAACTGCTGAACAACCCACCCCTTAATTAGCATTCTATTAAAAGTGGTTATAAATAAGACTGCAAAACTGTCCCTGGGCTGCTATTCTCTGCACACTGCCTATGGGGTAGCCCCGCTCCAAAAGAGCAGTCTCTAAGCTGTATCACCACCATTGCCTCAATAAAGCAGGTTTCACCTGTCCTGCATCAACCTGATGCCATCCTGGCAACATCCAAGACTCAGAGAGGTTTGGGCCACATGGCAATGGCTGCAGATGGAAACTTAATGACACGCACAAGAGAGGTGTTCATGAACAAGGGATTACTCGTGATATGAGGAGCCTCGTCAGCAGCTTCCCTAAGAATGGTACTGACATTTGACATCTACAACTACCACAGTATTTAACTGGACAATCTGAACTCACCAAACGATTTGCTTTTGCTTCTAGATCATATGCAAATGACAAAAGATTCACTCCTGCAGGGGATTTACCAGTCTACAATAGAAGTGAAAAAATTGTGTTATGGATATGGGACCTTTAAGCCTTAACAACATCTAGTAGGCAACAGATTACACATAGATTGATAGCCATAAAGTAATCTTGTAAGGCCAGAAACTCTTGAACAAGGGGCAACATTTGCATTCTTATTTATACATATAAAGCCATATTTTTATTCCATCATATTATTCAACTATGAAAAGGAATGAAGCACAAACACATGTTATAATGTGGATGAACTGCAAACATATGCTAAATGCAAGAAGCCAGACACAAAATGTTGTATGTTATATAATCCTTTTTTTTTTTTTTTTTTTTTTAATATCCAGACTAGGTAAATCCATCTAAAGGGACCACAGATGGGTGGTTGTCAAGGGTTTGGGGAGGGGGAAATTAGGGCAACTGCTTTGGGGTTTGCTTTAGGGTGATAAAAGTGTTTTGGAACTACATAGAGATAGTAGTGGTGCAACATTGTTAATGTACTAAACGGCACTGAATTGCTCACTTTAAAATTATTAGTCTTAAGTGAATTTCATTTTAATTAAAAAAAAAGCAAAATAGAAATACATATCCGAGGCTCTAATTTCCTCCAAAGGATCAAGCATGAACACGTGTCATACCTGAGCCAAATAGGTGTCATAATTCATTCTGTCTATTCCACAAGCAGCAAAATCTTGGAGGTTTTTCCTTCCTGCTGCACCCAACAGAAAGATATTGAAATTCACCTTCAGATTTTCCAGTTCATTGCTTATGCTTTCAGTATGCTGTGAAGAAAGGAAGTTACAAATCAATCCCTTACCGTCCAAGAATGTCACAAACTGAATGCTTGAAAAGATCAAGAAAAGCCGAACATGGTGGCTCATGCCTGTAATCCTAACACTTTGGGAGGCTGAGGTGGGAGGATCACTTGAGTGCAAGAGTTCAAAACCAGCCTGGGCAACATAAAGAGACCTTGTCTCTATTTAAACAACAGCAACAACATAACAACCAATTTTTAAATGTATATGTAAAAAATAATTTAAAAAAGAGCAATCAAACCACAAAGGACAAAAAAAAAAAAATACGTGAGCACTTGACTACTTGACGACATCTCTTTCTGGTATTTCCCATCCTGTTCTTTTCCTATCTTTTTCTTTATGGGTCCCATGGCTTCTAAGTCCCTAGCTTTGACAAACAGTGATGCTGAAAGGGACAGGGTAGGCTGTCATTCCAGGGAAGGGACCAGCACACAAAAGAGATGGGAGTAGGAATAAATGAGAGACACCATTTGGGGAATAGGGTTCAGTTACTTGGGCAGATTATGAAAATGTGGTGGTTGATTCAGGGTTGTGTTGATAGTCGGCAGTTTCCAGCAGCATGGAGTGCCTGCATGTCCCAGGCAACCCCTCCAGCTGCTACCCACCACAGCACATAGAGAAGTGACCCACAGCATGACGGGCATCTATTTAGGGTTTAGTTTCAAAATTATGCATGTTTAAAGTACATGCATGGAGTATTTAGAGAAGATAATAAACACTTTATACACAGCTTTCAAATATAGCTTTTCACATTTGAAAACCATCAAGCCATCATGGCCTCATGGTAACTGTAGCAGCAGTAGGCAAGCTTTGGGGACTTGGGAACAGCCTCCTCCCTTGGGATCCCTTTGTTTCTGCTCTCATTCTGGAAACCCCAAAGAGAGAGGACTCTCTAAATTCTTTCTGGCAGAAAGTCACAAGAGGCCTATAGATATGGGGAATGGGGTTGGTCTAGACAAACGGCATCCTAGGCCTGGGCAGCTGAAACTCTTGCTCTTTCTTCAGGCCAGTGTGCTCTGGAATGGCCTTTCCTCCAAGTCTTAAGACTTAAGACTGGGGTGTGGGCTCTGGCAAAGGAGAAGAGGAGGTTCTGTTGGTTTGCAGCCTTTGTTTTACTTCACAGTGGAGTCCTGGGGCTACCATGTGACTCATAATGAAGGTGGACTGTGTAGACCATGCTCCTCCATGCCGAGTGCCCAATTTCAGGGACTGGCAGAAAGGGAGGCTGGTCTTGCAATGAGAGCCTTTTGTTTCCATAAAAACGTCTATACTCATCGAAATGACATCTTTCCCTGTGAAGTGTCCATAGTGAGGCCCCTCCAGAAGCTCTTGCATAATCCACTAGAAAAACTCAAACCACAAGAAAGACAGCTGGTCAGGCAGTGAGAAAACGTTTTGGAACCAAATAGAGGTGAATGTTACACAGCCATGTAAATAAGCCAAACGTCGCTTTTAAATAGTTAATTTTATCTTCTGCAAATTTCATCTCAATTTCCAGAAAAGAAAGAAAGACATCTGGATTTGGTAAAAGAATGTGTTCCATCGATTACATGACTAGTTCTAATTACCTCATTAATGTTGAGTCGTTCACTGATATTGAAGCTGTTCTCCAGGTGAAGAGTGCCGTAAGTGCCTCTATTATTTTTGCAGTCACTATGGGAGTAAACAGAGAAATTAGGACCTGGAAAAGCTGCTGCAGCTCCCTCTGTCCACAGCTAAAGTTGACGAGAAAGGCTCACTGTTTCTCTTTGTTTGTGAACCCAGAAGTGGGGCTGGGTGTCCCCAGTAGCCACACAAATCCCCCAGCACCCACCACTTCTGACTTCTGTCCTTGATTTACTAATAGTCCTGTTCTTGGAAGAGATGCAATAGGATTGATAAATATATCTTTCCATCTGTCTCTTATATGCCGTAGTTCTGCTGTGGACAACAAGTTTACAGATTGGGAAGAAATAAATTCTCATTAAAAAGAAAAAGAATATTGCTAGAAAGAGATACATTGCAGATTAGATTATGAACTTCATTCAATGATTCTATCAAGCTCTTGCCAAGAGGCAATGGAGAAACAGACAGGAAGTGACACAAGTGCTGGAGCCACATCACATGCTCGGAGGTTTGGAGGATGGAATGGGAACAAGGAGACCAGCTGGAAGCAGAGAGAGACAGAGGAGACGATTTAAGAAAGATTTAGAAGGGAACGCCTACAAGTAACATTAATAATACAGGTTTGGGATGAAGTTCATTCTGAGTGTTGTCTCAGTGCACTGGAAGCTCAGTTTTCACTGCCACTCGCTGAATAATGGAAAAGAGGACTTTTCTCTGTCCTTTTACTTTGTATTCGGTCTCAAAGTGGTAGTGGGATTTTTTAAAGCTCCCAAGTGGCAGCCTATTGCGCCTACCTCTGTGCCTTTGCCTGTGTCCCTTGGCCTGGGTACTTTTTCCTTCTTCTTGGCCCAGCCAATGCCCACTAACCTACTAAAAACAGCTTAGATGCCGTTTCCCTCTGGAAGTCCTTCCTAATCCCTCCGTCACCACACTGCGTAGGACACCTCCTTGGCGCTTCGATAGTGGCCTCACTACATTTCTAACACCTGTAAGTATCGCTCTATTCTAGAACGCTTCTGTACAGATCTAACTCCCTGCAAGGTTTTCCTTGACAGGAGGACCAGAGTCTAATTCAATTTTGTATAATATCTCAGGTATCCTGTTACCCCAGGCCCTCGTATGATAATAAAAGTTGTTAGCATGGTACCTAGCTCACAGAGTGGTGTGGATGTTGAAGAAATTTATACATCCAAAGTGTTTCCATCAGTCTTGGCATATAGAAAGTATCAGGCAGGTGTTAGCTCTTATAATTTTAAAAAATTACCACTATTATCACTTAGCATAACATTTATTAGGTAACAGAAATAAATAGTAATGGCTGGGCATGGTGGCTCACGCCTGTGATCCCAGCATTTTGGGAGGCTGAGGCAGGTGGATCATCTGAGGTCAAGGGTTCAAGACCAGCCTGACCAACATAGTGAAACCCTGTCTCTACTAAAAATACAAAAATTAGCCAGGAGTGGTGGCAGATACCTGTAATCCAAGCTACTCAGGAGGCTGAGGCCTGTAATCCAACCTACTCAGGAGACTCGTTTGAACCCAGCAGGTGGATGTTGCAGTGAGCCGAGAAGGCACCAATTGTATTCCAGCATGGGTGACAGAGCAAGACTTTGTCTCAAAATAATACATATATACAAAAAAAAAAAAAAAAAAAAAAAAAAAAAAAAAAAAAAACCCTTGCAATACCTAAAAGTATACCTAACAATTCACAAAATGCTTAAGAAGTTTCTTAAATGGCAAATGATGGTAAAATACTACTAAGCTATAGCTTAGTAATAATGCTAGGCAGAGGATCAATACTTGCTTAAAACTTCATAAAGGAACTCTGAGAGAGTAATAAGAACACTAAGAATGGTGGTTCCCGTGTAGGCCATGGAAGGGCTTCTTGGCAGATGAGGACCTGTGTCTGTGACTTACAAAACATTCTGCTCTCAATGTGAGTTGCTACCGCCCTACATATTTTTAGTTTTATTTACTATGAACACATCGTGTTAACACACACATCCTCTGCCTTCAGTCTCACAGTGGGAGAAATAAGTGTCACCAGTGTTTAAAAAGCATCCTGTGAGTTGATTTCAAATACTCTTAAAGTGACTTCCTTTCCTATGGCTCACAGCAGAGAGCTGCCCGTGGGTTCATACCTAAGTTCAGACCTGTAAGACTACCAGCCATCAGCGTAGGAGGCCCATTTCACCACTGGGCCAACACACACAATGCACAGTGAGTTAAGAGAAATGGGAAAAATGCATCTAGATTTTATATATATATATATTCCTGAGACACAGTCTCACTCTGTCACCCAGGCTGGAGTTCAGTGGCACGGTCTCGGCTTACTGCAACCTCTGCCTCCTGGGTTCAAACAATTCTCCTGCCTCAGCCTCCTGAGTAGCTGGGTCTATAGGTACATGCCACCATGCCCGGCTAATTTTTCTATTTGCTTTTTAGTAGAGATGGGGTTTCACCACATTGGTCAGGCTGGTTTCGAACTCCTCACCTCAGGTAATCCACCTGCCTTGGCCTCCCAAAGTGCTGGGATTATAGGCATGAGCCACGATAGCCAGCCTAGATGAACAATATTAAGAACAGGTATTGTTTATCAAGTCCAAATGATGTGTCAGGCACCGTTTGAATCTCATGTATCTTAATCCTAAAACAACCTCAGGGTCAGTTTCCTATGACCATGACCCCTATGGAAGAGAGAAGCTGTGCGATTGTCCAGGTGACAGAGCCTCCAGGAAGGAGCTGGGGTCAGAGCCCAGGAGGCCTGACTGCCGACAGCTCTCCAACTGCATTGCCTTCATCCCTTGTCATGGGGTCCCATTAGTGCATTGTAGGGTCACTTTAACTAGCGAGTTCCAGAGATTACTGGAGAGAGAGACCTTGAAGCATCACCATTCCAAGGTCTCAAAGGCTTTCAGCAGAAGGAATATCTTTTGGTCTAATTTCTACTGTGCCTTTAATATACTACAGAATAGCTTATCTCTGAAACTGGAAAGTCATATAATTAAGATTTTAAAACACTTCAAATGCAAAATTCTCATTCTGGAAAAAGAATATTTTAAGTAGCAAAACATATACTGCATATATTGATACCTGTAAACTTGTTCAAAAGTGAGCTTTATCTTTGATTTATTAAATAGCTTTCCAGAGAGATAGTATTCCCAGTCTTCATTTAGTAAGCGGGGTGTGTCCAAAACCTAGAACACATTAGGAAGTATTTTCAAAAAATCAGGTTTACACTAACATACATACTAATATAATAAAATGAATATTCTGTTGAATATGTTTTTGAAATTTTTCATAACATTATTTTTCTGGCTGATTTCCAACTTGTAACTAGAAAATAATGGTATAATTGGAATAAATCAATTGACCACTGGGTAGTATCAATCAGAATTATCAAAATTACTTTTTTTGAGAACTCTTTTTTTTTTTTTTTTTTTCTATTTTGAGACGGAGTCTCACTCTGTCGCCCAGGCTGCAGTGCAGTGGTGCAGTCTCAGCTCACTGCAACCTACACCTCCTAGGTTCAAATGATTCTCCTGCCTCAGCCTCCCGAATAGCTGGGACAGCAGACACGCACCATCACTGCCCAGCTAATTTTTGTATTTTTAGTAGCAACAAAGTTTCACCATGTTGGCCAGGCTGGTCTTGAATTCCTGACCTCAGGTGATCCACCCGCCTCAGCATCCCAAAGTGCTGGGATTACAGGTGTGAGCCACCCCACCTGATTGAGAACTCTTTATCTCAATAAAACACATTAGAAATAGAAGCAGAATAGACCATCTGATTCAGAATAGCTAATATACAGCTATGAAGTGGTGTACCCAGTGCTGCGCTATTTCTCTCTCTGGACAAAATATATTAAAATTCACACACTCTATGCCTCTGTACCATACATATTTAAGATGGGCAAATTAGTGCATGACTGTGTATGGGCTTGAGCAGTAGAGATAGTTTTGAAATATCCCCTACTTAAGAACAATTATCTTCGAATGATTCAACATTCTACAGGAGACAATGATGCCTGGCTTGATTTGTATCTTTTATCAAAAAGCCAGATGGAGATCATTTGACCCACTGATGCTCTCAATATAATCTCCCTTGACCAATGAAATAACTAAGATACCGTCACAACAGTATTCACCTGATTTCATAACCGATTTTAGGTGAAAAAATGTATATACTATGAAAGAGTGAAATAGAAACATATTTTTAAAATCAGAATCTGGAGAAAAAACACGGAAAAGCCAAAATTAGAAGCCAGACACTTAGAACAAAATTTCCTCATTAATGAAGAAAGCAAAACTGCTAACTGCCCCCCCACCCTGCCCCGCTGCCCCAGAATCTGCGGGAGTCGGACGAGAGGGAGAAAGTGAAGCTTGAAATCGTTTCCTGGCGGCCTCACTGGACATCCGCGGGGTCAGCCTCTGCCAGGAGTCATGCACTTATCTGGCTCTTTCCCTTCAAATTTAGGGCTCATCTGTGCAGACACCTCTGTCGCCTGAGAATCTCCCGGGCTATGTGGGAGGAACGTTGGAACTCATCTTCTGATGTTCTCAGCCACATTTAAAAACTACAGCTGAGGAAAATTCTATTTTCCCCAAATATTGCAATCCACATTGATGGGCAGGACTTAACCCATGGCCCTGATTTCACTTATGAAATCTTAAGTGCTTATATGTTTGCACTTATATATCACATGAGATATGGAGAAATCCAAGTTTCTGTTCAAGTCCTTTCATAATGGGTAGAAAATCATAGTTACCCGGAATAATTCCTTGCTCATGTAAGGTTCACAGATCAATTTTTCCACATTTGCACCAACGACAAAGGTAAGAACCACAATGATCATCAATATCCAGCAAAAGAGGAAACTTAGTCCAACTCCACTGGAAAAAAAAAAAACATAAATAAAGTTAGTAATTCAACAAAGAATGATTCAGTATTACCTATGGGTACTTACTAAATCTACCTGTACTCTATAGAGTCTTCACTGTTATTGAAGTGAAACAGATCAGCCCACCTAGGAGTGACACAGGGCCTGGGGACCTGGAACGGGCAGTTCCAGGGCAGGCGAGAGTGCACTATATAGGGTCCTGGGGCCTGGGGACGGGCAGGTACAGGTTTATTGTACAGGTGGGGGTGTATTGTATAGGGTCCTGGGGACCTGGCAACAAGCAGCTCCAGGGTAAGCAGGGGTATACTGTATAAGAGCCTGGGGACCTGGAGATGGGCAGCTCCAGGGCAAGCAGGGGTGTACTGTATAGGGGCCTGGGGACCTGGGGACGGGCAGCTCCAGGGCAAGCAGGGGTGACTGTATAGAGCCTGGGGACCCATAAGGGGTGGCCAATAAGGGGCTGAAAGCACAGGAGGACCACAACCCGACTTCTCTCTGAACAAGAGCACTCTTGGCACAGTGTAAAGGACTGGACAGGTGCCACCATGGATGGGACATCATTCAGGAGGCTGTTATCATGGCTCACGAGGGTGGCCGAGGGGGCAGGAGTGGTGGAGAGGTGGATGACAATGATGTAATACAGGAGGCACAGGAGGCAGAAGACAGGGGGCAGCAGGGCTGGGGAAGCCCTGGGCACGAGAGGTAGAGGCAAGGAATGACTCCAAGGGCAATGCCAGGGAGCAGCGATGCTCTGGAAGGAAAGAGAAGATGGGCTGGATGTTTGTCTTGTTGCCAGAGAGACACTGAGTGGAAAGACTGTGTAGGAGTCAGACGTTTGAAGCTCAGATATCTGGGTTTCGGGTGTACATTAGGGAGTCAGCAGCTTAGCCATGATCATTTAACCCCAGGGCTGGCTTGGAGAGAGAAGCAGCCTAGGGCTGGGTCTGGAGGATTTCAACATTTACAAAGACGGGTGGTGGAAGGGGGGCCAGCAAACAAGACCAAGATGATGAGGCAGAGAAGTAGGAAGGCAGTCATGTGAGTGTGATGCCACCTAGGGGACAAAAGGAGTGTTTGCAGGAGGAGGGAGTGGTCCACTGTCACCAGCCAACGTGCTGTCTACATTGTACAGAGTCACTGCCAACTTAAAACAAGTTCAGTCATTGGGGGGAGGGGGGACCAAATTGGAGTGGACTGGGAAGTCAGCAGGAGAGGAGGGACAGGCAGCAAGCGCAGATCACTCCTCTGAGGGAGCTGGTGTCTGGGAAAGGAGAGCTACACTGTCTCTACAAAAATAAAATAAAAGTAAAATGCTTCTGGGACCCTCTGAAGATACAAGATCAGAGCAGAGCCAGGGCTTTCTGACTTTCTTCCTTCCAGATCTTTCACTGACATCCTTTTGCGAGACAAGAATTCCTGCTTGGTTTTGAAACAGACGATGCTCTTGATTGGATGGTGTCACCATTTTTAAAGAGCAGGTGGTGTTTTGGTTGCAGCAAAACTACATATATTCTTTCTGGTTTAACATTTAAGTTTAAACATTAAGCCAGTGTGGTCAAAGGGTTTCTGCTTTTATTTTTAAAGGAAGAGAACAGAGCATCATTAAGTGTTGAGTGAAAGTCAAGGAGAGAGGAAGAGAATAAAGGCATGGAAAAGAAAGGAGATGATCCATTTTATTCTCAGAATCAGGGGAAGGAATGGGATTGAGAATATGGCTGGCAGGATGAGCCTGAGAGAGGAGGCATCCCTCTGCTTCTGGCACTGCAGAGAAGGGGCGGATGTGCTTGAGAGCAGGTGTGTTTGGAAGTTTGGCGATGGGAAGTTTCAGGATGGCTTCTGTTTTCTCTGAGAAGAAGTGGGTAAAGCCATCTGCTAAGAGAGAGGTGAATGAGAGGAAGATGGATGTATCACAGTGAAAAGACTGTTGCAGAAAAGTGAAGGGGCTGTCAAAAAAAGAGAGAAAGGGAAGGAAGAAAACGAAAGAAATAAAAGATTTGTCAGAGTATGGCAGGTCCATTTGAGACAGGATATTCTAAGCTTGTAGGGATGCCCGATGTAACTGCTGCGTAACTTTTCTCAGCAGTGCTTAGCTGTCCAGGTGTAGACACAGAGAGAGAGCAAACTCTTAAATCAATCTAGATGCAGTTGCCAAATCAAAGGCCCTCCCTGACATACACTAGGAAGGAGCCTCATAGGGGTGGGCTTATGTTTGCAATCACCACAGCGTCCCCTCTTAAGAGCATGATTCTCCCCAGCTGCAGACATCAGTCATAATTACAGTATTTGCACATCTCACTAAAATAAATAGCAAGTAAAGTTCACTGGAAAGGCCTAGGCCAGCCTGACCTCCTCTGACCTACAAGCCTCCTGAGTCTGGGAGAGCACAAAGAAGTGAGCGAGGGCCACACCAGGGTCCCTGACTGAGCATGTGTGTCTGTGTGTTGGACTTAAACCACTCATAACAACCAAGTCAGCTGTCTAAAAAGAGCACCATGACTTACTCTAAATCGCATACAGTTAACATCTCCAGCCTTTATTTTCTAAATATATACATTCCCAGATCAGGGGTAGGGAAACCATTGCCCAAGGTCTGTTTTTCTAAGGTTGGTGAGATGATGGCTAATGTGTACTGAAAATATGGAAAAGGAAGAAGAGGAGGAGGAGAATAAGAGTAAGATGAAAGAGCAAAAGAAGGTGAAAAAGAACAAGAATATGTGACAAAGACTGTATGTGGCCAGGAGAACCTAAAATATTTATTACTTGGCCCTTCTTGGGAAAAGCTTTCTGACTACCCCCGATTTACACAGTTAGGATAATATATACATCATTTTCTGACCCCTTTCCAAATGTGTTACCTTAGAAACTTTTGTCAACAAATCAGGACAGTCACCTAGTTATCACGTCAGGGGCATGTGATCTTCCACGCATGGATGTGTCATAACTTACTCGCCCACTCCTTTGCAGCTGGACATGCAGGTCATGTCCAGTGCTTCACTAACTAATACTGCAAAAACCCTTCCCTGTTCATGATGCTTTCCTCATAGTTTCGTCTAATTCCTTCACCTATATTCTCCCAAAAATGGAAATTACTGGGGAAAGGGCACTATTGTCTTTTACAGCCCTTGCTGTATGGCCTGACAAACTCCTTTCTGTAACCTCAGAAACTGCCACCAGCCATAGCATTGTGCCCAGTTTGTGATAACTGTGGCTGCTCTTGGCATTGTTGTCAATATCTAAAATGGAAAATTTTATAAGGGGCTTCAAAACATGAGATGCTTGTGCCTCCTACTCCCCCCTGCAACAGATAATACATTCACCACTGCATCCTATTCAGCTGCTAAATTGCTCCTGGGGCCATGGTTAGTGGCTCACAACTGTAATCTCAACACATTAGGAGGCTGAGGCTGAGGCCAGATGATCTCTTGAGACCAGGAATTCAAGACCAGCCTAGGCAACAAAGCGGCACTGTCTCTACAAAAATAAAATAAAAGCAAAATGCTTCTGGGACCCTCTGAAGATACAAGATCAGAGCAGAGCCAGGGCTCTCTGACTTTCTTCCTTCCAGATCTTTCACTGACATCCTTTTGCGAGACAAGAATTCCTGCTTGGTTTTGAAACAGACGATGCTCTTGATTGGATGGTGTCACCATTTTTAAAGAGCAGGTGGTGTTTTGGTTGCAGCAAAACTACATATATTCTTTCTGGTTTCTACAAGCAAGTAAACAGTTTTAAAAAAAGAAATTGCATTCTTCTAATTAGTCTGATTAGACAGATGACGCTCATATCATCTCCCCCTTTTGCAATTATCCAGTTGTTTACCAGATACCTCAAGAAGTAGAGAATTCTGTCAAGCACAGCAGAGCGCCGTGCTGACTGGTGGCATTCAACAATAAAGAAATCAGAGCCACCCTAAGTCTGCAGACTCCTTGAAATTAATCTAACAACATCTGACAATTACCAGCCCTTCTTCTGCTACTGAGATGAATCCTATGGCTTCCACACCATAAGCTTCCTTATCTATAGAATTGGTATATCTAAACTGAGGTAGCTTTTAGCCTCCATCAATTTCTTTCTTTTTTTTTATTGCATTTTAGGTTTGGGGGTACATGTGAAGAACATGCAAGATTGTTGCATAGGTACACACATGGCAGTGTGGTTTGCTGCCTTCCTTACCCTCACCTGTATCTGTCATTTCTCCCCATGCTATCTCTTCCCACCTCCCCACCCCCCGTCCCTCCCCCATTTCCCCCCAACAGACCCCAGTGTGTAGTGCTCCCCTCCATGTGTCCATGAGTTCTCATTGTTCAACACCCGCCTATGAGTGAGAACATGCGGTGTTTGATTTTCTGCTCTTGTGTCAGTTTGCTGAGAATGATGGTTTCCAGGTTCATCCATGTCCCTGCAAAGGACGCAAACTCATCGTTTTTAATGGCTGCGTAATATTCCATGGTGTATATGTACCACATTTTCCCTATCCAGTCTATCATCAAAGGGCATTTGGGTTGGTTCCAGGTCTTTGCTATTGCAAACAGTGCTGCAATGAACATTCGTGTGCATGTGTCCTTATAGTAGAATGATTTATAATCCTTTGGATATATACCCAGTAATGGGATTGCTGGGTCAAATGGGATTTCTATGTTTAGGTCATTGAGGAATTGCCACACTGTCTTCCACAATGGTTGAATTAATTTACACTCCCACTAACAGTGTAAAAGTGTTCCTATTTCTCCACATTCTCTCCAGCATCAATTTCTTGATAATTTCTTTGTTTTTTTTTTCTTTCTTTGAAGTTGGATATCACATTTTTTGGTTGTATCCCTTTAAAAAGTGTGAATACAATTTTGATGGGTACGTCATTTTTCAGAGCAATTTACCCTTCAAGTAGTTAAAAAAGATGGAAATATATGTGTATATATACACACACCACCAAAACACTGACAAATAGCCAAGTATCAGGATTGTTAAATTTGTAACATTAAACTTAAAACCAATTAAACATTAAAAGTAATGGCAAAAACAGCAATTACTTTTGCACCAAACTAATCTTTTTTTTGTTTAATGTATTTTTGTGTATCTGTGTACATTTGAACAAAAAGGCAAGACAAATTCAGTTTTCCTTGCTGATGTGATTTCTTACTTTTTTCCCTCCCTGTCCAGAGGTACTTGCAGCTTTTTCTTCCTTCCTTCCTTCCTTCCTTCCTTCCTTCCTTCTCTCTCTCTTTTTTTCTTTCTCTTGTTCCTTTTTTCAGACAGAGTCTCATTTTGTTGCCCAGGCTGGAGTACAGTTGGCACGATGCTCACTGTAACCTTTGCCTCCTGGGTTCAAGTGATTCTCGTGCGTCAGCCTCCCAAGTAGCTGGGATTACAGGCATCCACCACCATGCCTGGATAACTTTCGTATTTTTAGTAGAGATGTGGTTTCGCCATGTTGGCCAGGCTGGTCTCGAACTCCTCGCCTCAAGCGATCTGCCTGCCTCAGCCTCCCAAAGTGCTGGGATTACAGATGTGAGCCATTGCACCCAGCCAAATATAATTCCTTAAGCTTTGGCCTGTGAGCATCTAGGCTTCTCCATACGTGGATTTCTTTGTCCAAGTCATTAGCTCTAAGGTTATTTTAAGACTCTTGTTAATAAAGACCTATACCATACTGGAGCCTAACTATTTCAGGAAAAGGACTTCGAATCATAGCTTATAAGAAGCCTCAGTTATTTTTCCAGTGACCCAAAGTTTTGTTTGTTTGTTGTGTGTGTGTGTCTGTCTGAAAGTTTGAAGACCTGAGGTCTTAAAAAGCAAATTAATCAAATTAATGCACATCATCTGCTCTCCAGCCAGCTCGCCCACAGCCCCGTGCTAGTGAATTCAGAGGATAAATGAGAGAACGTGACTCAGGTTTTGGTTCTTCACTCCCCAAAGGATTGTTTCAAACCTTAACCACCGCCCTCGAGCCCCATCACACTTCCTACTGCTGATTCTTCATGATCTTATCAAAAAGAGAATATTGACTTAGAACCCACACAGCTTCCTCTTTGCGGAGCATTCAAAGCCAGTACACTACATCCTAGCTGACATTTCTGGCGCCGGCTCCTGTTGCACCTGGCTCATGCCTGCGATACTTTGTCATACCCACAGAGTCAAGGTTTTTGCAAACACACGAACTTGGAGGTGAATGTGTTTAAAGCAGGGACAGTTGCTCCAGTCTTCAGCTGCAGGCTTACATCTCCCTGCTACCTCACACCTGTTCTCATCCCTAATCTAGGCTACTTGTCTAAATCCTAAGAGTTCTGGCCTGCCTTAGTTCTAAATCAAGTTTCTAGAATTTCAAGGAAGCAACACTGAAGACCCATAGGAGGTTGGCTCAGCCTCTGGTAAATGAATGAATGAATGAATAAAAAGAAGGAACAACAGAAATCAAGAAAGAAACCTAGTTGCTTTTTTTTTTTTTGCTTTTTTTTTTTTTTTCTTGAGACAAGAGTCTCACACTGTTGCCAGGGCTGGAGAGCAGTGGCGCAATCTCGGTTCACTGCAGCCTCCGCCTCCTGGGTTCAAGCAATTCTCTGCCCCAGTCTCCTGAGTACCTAGGTTTACAGATGCCTGCCACCATCCCCAGCTAATGTTTGTATTTTTAGTAGGGACAGCATTTCACCATCTTGGCCAGGTTGGTCTTGAACTCCTGACCTCGTGATCTACCCACCTCAGCCTCCCAAAGTGCTGGGATTACAGGCATGAGCCACTGTGCCTGGCCACCTAGCTGCTTTTAAAAGGAAGCTGCCATATACAAATAGTGTGCTTAGGCTGGTCTATCGAAATGCAATTAATTTAGTGTTATTTTTATTTTTATTTTTTACTTTTTATGCTTGATGAAAATATCCAAATCAAGGAAGGTCCAATCATAGCAAGATCTTTCCTCTTCATGACCTGGGAGCTGGAATCCCACGCAAGTGGCCCAGAGGGCACCCAGTTCATGTAACACCAGAGTCAGCACCCAATCTCTCTCCTGCTTTCCCACCCCCATGTGAAAGAGAGGAGCAGGCACTCACACCATGAGGAAGACGCCCCCGGTGTTGGAGACACAGCCTCGGGTAGTTGGGGTGGCATGCCTATCATAGCCGCACACGCCACACAGTAAGCCCAGGTAGTAAAAAATCACGATGAGGGTCAGCAGAGAGCAGATGACCAGACCACCTAGCCACCTGGAGAAGCAAGCACAATGTTAGCAGACATGACACAGGTGATGCCACTCTAACACAAAAGCTGCTGGACTAAGGCTGGACCCGATGAATTATTCTTGACCTTCTAAAATCAGAGTATCCCATCAGTTCCTCCGAGGGCAATAATGTTGGGTGAAAAGATCCCCTCCCACCCCTAATCCTCCAATTCAACCAACAGAGAAACGTTTATTTTCATCCTAGGTTTGCATTGTTCTCGGTGGTCATGGCCATTGTTCTGCTTCCTTCCTTTGCCTTGACTCCTACAGGTGTCACACAGGGTTCATAAGCATGGCTCATGGAGCTTCTCCAAGGCTACTGATGAAAACATGCTTAAGATTTTCACATTATTTTAAGGTTTCCGATGTTCTAAATGCCTTTTATAATCTTGATGACATATGGCTGGATCATTATTAGACTACAGATAAATAAATACTGGACTACTTTTTGTGGCCTTTTTCCAAAATATTTTGTGGTTGCAGAAATCTTTGGGGCCACTGTGTTCTTTACTGAACCAGATTACGTGGCAGATGCATGCGGTGTTTAGAATTTTATGAGCATACTAAATCAAATGCCTGCAGAATGCAAATCGCAATTTCATAATGGTCCTGCGATACATCTTAGGATAATGGATCCTCAATTAGGTCTTACTGGCATTCCCGGAAGGTACAACAACCTTTCCCAGCAGAGAGTGGCATTCAAGGGTGGTAATGCTTCCCAACATTGAAGACACTAAAAAATCAAGAATTTACTTCTGGTGCCTCTTGACAAAAGTCACCACTGAAGATTTTCATTCAATTAAGAGCAATCTCAGTAATTATAGTAACAGCCACAGGCAGCCATTCTGGGGAGGTTTGTTCCAGACACTGAGGGCACAAAATTAAATAAGCCATGGAGTCTGGCCTCAGAAAACTTACAGAGTTAAAGAACCATCTGCTTAGTTCAGTTTCTTTTTAAGATAAGCTCATGGGGTCAGGGCGGGGGGAAAAGGAAGGGAGATGGAGGGCAGCCAGGTAGACAGGTAATGGTACATTTTCTTCCCGTTTGTGAAGCTCTGATGTCTAATGAGGTTGTAAGCTCACTGAGAAAGGGCCTGCCTTCTGCTTGTCTCCTGAGACTTGCTGGGGTGGCCTAGTCCCACAAGGGAATCATGGCGGGTGCCCCCTGGAGCTTGTTGTTTGTGGGGCAATGACAAAAAGCAGAGCTAGATGGAGTTTCAAAACCCACCTCTGCCATATGCTAGCTGGCCTTAAGGAATTCTCTTCACTTCCCTGAGCCCATCTCCTTGTCTATAAAATAGGGTTATAAATGGAACACAACCCAGGGGGAATTTTGTGAGCATTAAAAGAAATGTGCAGAACGTGCTTGGTGGGCACACTGAAACTGTCCCTTAAATGGTAGCAATTGCTATTATCTTAATTATCTTGTGGTCTTGTGTAAGAAATAATCCACATGAGAAGGAGTCTCAGGACTCCCCATGGGATTGGGAGTTACGAAGGGTTTAGTGACAGGTCATGGGGCTGAGCTCTTCAGAGAGAGAAATGCATCTTACATAACAGATGATCCTCTACATTTCTCCAAGTCCCTCCCTCCCCAGGGCTCTGGCTGGGATGTTCACTACCCTCACCCAGGGCCACACCCCAGCACTCACGTTTTCTAATGGAACAACCAGTGGGCACCACAGCCACTCACCTAAGATCTGGGAGCAATTCACTGGTTTCGAGGAACAGCTAAGAAAAGGATGCTCCTTCTTTTGGTTGGTTGGTAAGAACTAACTTCTGCATATTTATTTTATAAAACAATATGTAAAGAATATTTTCCAAATGTTTTTCTTGATTACTTTTAAGCTTTAATATCTCATTACATGTCTGGTTTGATAATTATAACTAATATTCCAGAAACTACTAATGACATCAAAGTTATAAATTATCAAATATTTGGCTCATGAAGGTCCAGTGTTCAACTTAAAATGAAGGTGGAATGCTTTACAAATTTCCATACCATCTGTACACAGGAGTCACGCTAACCTTCTCTGTATTGTTCTGTATTTTAGTATATGTGCTGTCTGGTCTGAGCAAACACTTCAACTTTTTAAATGAACATAAACTGGGGTTAACACATATCAGGTCATGGCCTCTTGTACAATTTGCTCTCATAAGATTATCTTGATGCCAATGTCAGATTTTTATCTCGTTCTCTATAGAGTTTACTCTCGTAGTTCACCAGCTCCAAGGAGACACTCACCAGTATGAATCATACTCTTCCCATGTGGGTAAATGTCTTTGCATGTAACTTTCGGTGTTATTAACATAACCAGAGAATTCTGAGAGTATATCCTGAATAGGAAGACGCTGAGTTACATTGTTGATATCTGAACCAATGGAATTCAAGACTTTTTTGACACCTGAAAACAGAGGTACTTTTGTTATGCATTTGCAAACATGGAGGAAATGGAAACTTTGTTTTGGAACCAAACAGAAAAACCTGAACCACTTTTAATTTTTCCCATGTTATGTATGTGTTTAAAATATGGTAAGATTTTACAACAAGCATGAACATAGCCAAGACCACCGAAAAGCAATTATTTAACAAAACAGCAAGCTGTGAATGCTGACTTTAATGAGATGGTGCTGAAGTCAAGCCAGTTTCCTTCTTCTCCTTACTTTATTTAAAGTAGATCAAGTGATTAAAATGTATGGTGTGCAGACTATGTGCCAGGCACTTTTATAAACGGTAACTCATTTATTCTACTGAGGTAGATATTCTCATTCCTCATTCTACTAACAGTGACGCTGAGGCTCACAGAGATTCAATTAATTGCCCATGGGTCTTTTTAAAAAGGCTCTGGTAATGGGATTGAAACTCAGGTGTCTCTGACTCTAAAGCCCCTGTTACATGCTTTTGGGAAAATGAATAATAATAATAATTCTTCCATCTAAGAAATGATATTTGGAGCTGGGCACAATGGCTCATGCCTGTAATCCCAGCACTTAGGGAATCCAAAGTGGGAGGATCGCCTGAGGTCAGAAGTTCAAGACCAGCCTGACCAATATGGCAAACCCTGACTCTTCTAACAATACAAAAATTAGTCAGGTGAGGTGGCGCAAGGCTGTAACTCCAGCTACTCAGGAGGCTGAGGCATGGGAACCGCATCAACCCAGGAGGCGGAGGTTGCAGTGAGCTGAAATCGTGCCATTGTACTCTAGCCTGGGCAACACAGCAAGACTCCCTCTCAAAACCAAAACACACACACACAAAAATGCATTCAGGAACAGAGTAATTCTCCAGGCTCATTAAAAAAGAAAACAAACAAACAACCCAAGTGATTCTGGGTGATATTTTTGTTAAAATTCTACCTGAACAGATACAAATTGAGACTTCTTAGGAAGTACGTCTGTGTCATTTCTATGTAAAAATCAGTAGTAGTCTCAGTGGCCAGTTTCTTTTGCTATCAGTCCTAATTTCTCAGACAGGAGTTAAGTTCAAAGAAAACCACCACAACAGGTCCTAAAAATCAAACTCACCTGGGGTGCAGGATTTCACCTGAACCAATGCTCACACAAGTTCTGAAGCTGGCTTTCTCCAAGCGATTCTTTTTTTTCCCAAGTGATTCTTGATACAGACATACTAAGAACACACTAATCAGTTAAAAATCCACTGATCCTGCAAGAGAGGTAAATCTCTTTGCAGCAGCAGAGACAAGATTAGCAGTTCTCGAAATATTATCCTGATGCTCCCAGTGAACTTCAGGTAGAGGGTAGAGATGGTAGCTTGGTCCAAAATGTAATCACAAAAAAATGGCAGGAAACTTTTTGTTTTCTTTCTGAGACAGGATCTAACTGCATTGCCCAGGCTGGAGTGCAGTGGCACGATCATGGCTCACTGTAGCCTCAACCTCCTGGGCTCAGGGATCCTTCCATCTCAGCCTCCCAAGTAGCTGGGTCTACAGGTGTGTACCACCATGCTTAGCTAATGTTTTATGATTTTATTTTTTGTAGAGATGGGGAGATGGAATATCACCACGTTGCCCAGGCTGGTCTTGAGCTCCTGGGCTCAAGTGATCCTCCCACCTCAGCATCCCAAAGTGCTGGGATTATAGGAGTGAGCCACCACACCCAGCACTGGAGACTCCTTAAAGTTTGTTTTTCACATAGCTGTGACATCTAGAGATCAAAGACACAGAAGGGAGCAACAGAGTGTCAGGTGTTTGGATGTGATTCATCAAGAAAGGACTGTTACTCCAGGGGGGTTCACTGCCTTCTACTAATGGCTCGTGTAAAAACACCTGAGGATCCTTGGCCAAAATGACTCAGTGGGTTTCTTGGTTACTTCTGAGATTTTGAGAGATCGGGAATGTAGCCTTCTCATTTTCTAGGAGCAGCTCATAGGGCCCCGGACTGCTTCTCAGCCTGGCTTGCCCTCACACACAACATGACTCTGAGACCTTGCTGCTCTGGCGACTCTCTATGTGGCTGGTGCCCTCCCTCGGCATCTACCCTCTTCAAGCCTCTCTCCATGTCCCCTTTTCCAGGCAGCCTCCACAAGCATCTCCTCACCTTGTTTCCTGGGCGCATACCTGATCATGGTGCCAGGGTGTGACAATACACTTGTGTGCACATGGCTGGCAGAACTCACTCCTTATGCATATCATAGCCCAGTGCCTCGCAGAGCCTGGCACACAGTCAGCACTAAATAATTTGTTCAGGTTGGGATAAGACAACCTAAATACGAGAGCTAAGGACATGAAACTAAACTCCTGCTATCCAGGCCGACAGGGCGGCACTGGCCCGGTCCTAGGAAAATGCTGGCTTGTGCTCAAGCATGACCCCATGCACCATGGGCTGCACTCACATGTGCAGCACACTTTGCTGCATCAGACTTACAAGGAAGGGCTGCACGTATGGGCAGGAGAGGTCCAGAGAGGGTAAACCAAAAATTAAACACAGACATTAGTGAGCAGGTGGCTGTCAGATGTATAGCATGCATCAGCCTTCAGAGGTTAGCACACGAAAGTCCGAACCCGTCCTTAGTATCTTAATATTTTTAAGTAGACTCTTATATTATACAAAAGGAAACCCACAAAACATCTAAAGAGTTACGTAACAGGATAAAACACTTTTTTTACTCAAACTCTTCATAGGTCAGAAAACACCATTAGGGAAAAATAATCAAATATCTCTAACATAATATTTTAAAACCACTTACCAGATAAAAAGCAGCACTAAAATGATTTTTACAAAGAAATAAATGATAGCCTTACACAGCTTCAGTGTAAGGCTATCATTTCGCTTTTCTTTTCTTTCTTTTTTTTTTTTTTGAGAGGGAGTCTGGCTCTGTCACCTAGGCTGGTGTGCAATTCAGTGCCTTGATCTCGGCTCACTGCAACCTCCACCTCCTGAGTTCAAGCAATTCTCTGCCTCAGCCTCCCACATAGTTGGGGTTACAGGCATGCGCCACCACGCCTGGCTAATTTTTGTATTTTTAGTAAAGACAGGGTTTCGCCATGCTGGCCACGCTGGTCTCGAACTCCTGACATCAAGTGACCTACCTGACTTGGCCTCCCAAAGTGCTCAGACTACACGCGTGAGGCACCGTGCCCAGCCCGGAGATTTCTTCTCCAAGCAAATAACCCAGCTTGTCTCCATCTTTGCACAAAGAACTGCTCCCACTGCATTCTCTCCCACTGTATGTTCACCCCAAACCCCATAACCTGAATGCAGCACGATTCAGTAATCTGAGCAGAATCCTCTCCACATTGATTCTGCCTCTCCAAAATTGTAAGCAACCTTAGGAGCCTAGAATTCTATTATGTCAGCATCAGTGGATAGATTAAAATCTTCCCAAAAGACAAAATAAGTCTTTTTGCACAGTATTCCTTTAAAAAGTTTGATTTTAAGTTTGTCTAGCACATACAATAATCTACAGTTTTTTCTTCAGTGAAAATCAGAATGAGTTTCCAAACTGTGGTTGCCGCAGGATCTGAAGGCACATACTCTGGGGACCTGGAGCACGCCGTGGCCCTCAACCACGTGGTAGCTGCCGGCAGGGCTGGATGATGATCATCAGTGTTCAGTAACAAGTTTGTTCTTGTTTTTAAATCAATGTCACTGAATGAAGTGATGTGATTCTAAAGCTCTGATATTCATTTAGTTTTGATGGTTTTAATGAGATACTGGTTTTTTTTTAAGAGAAAAAGAACAATGCAATACTTGGTAATACATTTCTCCACACTGACCTTCCAATCAGAGAGACACAAAATCACCTCAAACTTTGAATCTCACCTGCTACGACAGACGTGGTTTGGCTTTGTACTCTGTCAGGTATGTCATTAAGGGATTGATAGTCCTGAAAAAGATTTCAAAATAAATGGATGTATACAGAAAGTTGAAGACTAGTTGACTAGTCACTCATTTTGCAACTTGGTATGAGTAGAGAAGTGAAATAAAAATACAACATTCATCATAAGGCTGAAATGATCATTATAGGGCCAATCAAGAGCCTAAAAGAATCCCCTTTAGAGAGCATTGTCTTTAAATTATATTAAAGATCACATTAGAAGTTATTCATATAGAGTGGCCCATAATTTTTAAATCAGCATATTTACACAGAGCCTGGGAACTGTGATGAGTACATACATCTATACCAGTGGTTCTCAACTGGGGTATGTTTGGCAGAGTCTAAACACATTTTGGTTATCACAGTTGTGGGGTGCTGCTGGCACTGTGTGGGTGGAGAACAAGGATGCTAACGAATACCCTACCACGCACAGGAGAGCCCCCACCGCTAAGAGGCATGCAAGGTGTCAGCAGTGCTGAGGTTAAGAGACCCTGATCAGTACAATATGCCCCGTGCAGATAGAAAGTGAATTTCTAAAAACAGAATCTTAGTTTCTAATTAAATATAAAATTAGAGGCCAGGCATGGTGGCTCACGCCTGTAATCCCAGCACACATTGGGAGGCCGAGGTGGGCAGATCACCTGAGTTGTGAGTTCAAGACCAGCCTGACCAACATGGAGAAACCCCGTCTCCACTAAAAAATACAAAAATTAGCCAGTGGTGCATGTCTGCAATATTAGCTACTCGGGAGGCTGAGGCAGGAGAATCGCTTGAACCCAGAAGGCAGAGGTTGTGGTGAACCAAGGTCACACCATTGCACTGGGCAACAAGAGTGAAACTCCATCTTAAAAAATAATAATAATAATTAGAGATATAGTTGAACAGAAAAAAAAAAATTATGTCCCAAAACACAGTTTACAGTGGATACAAATTGTGGTTAGGATAAAACAAAAACAAAAAACAACCGTGACAAGCAATAGGGCTTTGGGGCTAAACGTATGAGAGGGAAATATCATTATTTCCAAAGAATTCAACTAAACATCTAGCCTTCCCTCTGGAAGAAGTTTAGTGGGTGTTTCTTCACTGTCTGCTGGTGTACTTAGCCGTCTGCCAGGGAAGAGTAAAGCATTTTCAACCTTCATAAGATTTATGGTTCCAGCCAGCTTCCACCTTAGCCTAGCTACATCAGATGTCACAGAATGAACATCCATGACTTCCGACCCCTCCAAGGAGGCTAAGCGACTCAGCATACAAACGCTTGCGTTGGTTTTCTGTGTTCCTGACTCCTTGACATTCATCTGTGTCTGGACTTGCAGATGTCATGGGGGATTTCGCAGCTGGAAGGTGTCTTACAGATCTCCTGGTTCAACGCCTTCATTTAACAAACGAAGTAATACCAGAGTGCAAAGACCAAGAAATTTTGAATAACTTGTGTATGGGGCCACTTACTTTGTCAGTAGTGTCTAGTAAACACAAGTAGTAGATAAGTGTTTTACCCATTTATGCTGAAGGTTGCAAATTTTTTTGTGAAAAATCAGAACCTGGAGATGATGTTGGGCAGTAGGATATAAACAACTCCCACAGCTTAGTGTTCCAATAATGGAACACTAGGCATAAGTGGGTTAATAGAGATTTGAGATTTTTTGAGAGTCAAAAATAAAACTACTCTCCCCTTTTCCCATAGGCACTGGCACTCTACTGAATCAACTGAATCATAAGCTATAAAGAAATATTTATTGCATACTCAGTATCTATTGGTTGAATAAACAGCAACATTTGGCAAGCTACTGGGGAAGTCAGGGTATTCCAGACCAACGCTGTCCCTGCCTTTTGGGGGGTTTATAGTCCAGTGGTGGGAAAGGAGATATTGAAGAAATAATTACAGTTATGAGGAACTTAACAGAGAATATTTCCAATGCTGTAAGAATGTATTAAAAAGGGTTTGACCTAGTCAAAAACCCCAGGAAAGCCCTATTAAGAAGGTGACATATAGACTGGGCATGGTGGCTCATGCCTATCATCCCAGCACTTTGGGAGGCTGAGGTGGGTGGATCACCTGAGATCAGGAGTTTGAGACCAGCCTGGCCAACATGGCAAAACCCACCTCTACTAAAAATACAAAAATTAGCTCGGTGTGGTGGCGGTCACCTGTAATCCCATCTACTTGGGAGGCTGAGGCATGAGAATCATTTGAACCCAGGAGGCAGAGGTTACAGTGAGCTAAGATCGTGCCACTGCACTCCAGCCTAGGCAACAGAGCAATACTCTGCCAAAAAAAAAAAAAAAAAAGGAGAAAGAGGTGATATATGAAGCTTAAAAAACTAAGTAGCAGCCAGGTGCAGTGGCTCATGCCTGTAATTCCAGCACTTTAGAAGGCCAAGATGGGCAGATCACTTGAGGTCACGAGTTTGAGACCAGCCTAGCCAACATGGTGAAACCCTGTCTCCACTGAAAATACAAGACTTAGCCAGGCATGATGGTGCACACCTGTAATCCCAGCTACTTGAGAGGCTGAGGCAGGAGAATCACTTGAACCCAGGAGGCAGAGGTTGTGGTGAGCTGAGATTGCAACAGAGCGAGATTCCCTCTCAAAACAAAACACACAAAAGGAAGAGAGTGCCAAGCCGAGGAGAGAGCATGTGCAAATGTGTGAAAGTGGGAAAGAATGAAAAGAAAACCAGCATAGCTGACCCACTGGCAGAGGGGGACAGCACTTCATATTAGAATCAGTGTGGGGTTCAGCATCACACCCACTACATTCTGAGGCTTAGGAAAGCAGAGGTCATGTTCTTGATCTCTCCTGGTCTTAGCGTGGCACTTTACACATAATAGGTGCTTAACAAAAATTCTGGGAACTGGAATGATGAACACAGTTGCCTGGAAGGTTGTAACTATCACCCTTCTTACCAACCCTTCTCTAGAATTTCACTGCTTTTTTGCTGTTCCCTATTTTCTTAAGTACTAGTCCACCCTTTAAAATGATATAAAATCAGTGATTGTATATATTCCAAATAACATACCTGTTGGACCAGGCCACCCAAATCTGTTTTAAGAACATTATTCACGTTGTTAAGTTCTGTATCTACGAGAGGAAGCTGAAAATTTATGAAACAAAACAGAAGATAAAGTTGTTACCATCAAAACAATTCCTCATGAGGAAAGAAGTCATTGTATATCTAAGTCCCAAAGCGTCTATACTATAGGGTACAGTCGCAGTTTGTATTCATTTTTCCCAAATAATACTCTTTTTTTCTTTAGTCACGTGTGGTGGTGGGCGCCTGTAATTTTCTTCTATTTCAGTGTACATGGTTAATAGACTAGGCATATCATTTAAAATATTTTTTAATTCTTAAAAATAATACTCTACTATTTGGCAAAAACACAGCTCAGACCCTCCTTGGCAAGCACTACTTTTTTGATGTCTGGAGGGCTCTTGCTATAATTAGCTAAAAAAAATGAGGCAAAGAAGCTGGGTATGGGGGCTTATGCCTGTAATCCCAGCACTTTGGGAGGCCTAGGCAGGTGGATCACGAGGTCAGGAGTTCGAGACCAGCCTGGGCAATATGGTGAAACCCTGTCTCTACTAAAAGATACAAAACTTAGCCAGGTATAGTGGCATGTGCCTGTAGTCCCAGCTACTTGGGAGGCTGAGGCAGAAGAATCACTTGAATCCGGGAGGTGGAGGTTGCAGTGAGCCAAGATTAAAAAAAAAAAAAAAAAAAAAAGGCAAAGAAATTTAACACAAACGTAATATATAGGATCTTACAATTTCAAATACTAAAGGCAGTTCAATAAAATTGTAAAAAACCTTTTTAAAGTCACTTTTAAAATCAATGTAGTCAGTGTTTACACTGGTGAGTAATCTGGAATAGTTTTTCCACTTACAGCATTATACATGGATTTGAAGTGCTCTGACTCTTACCAATACTGGAACAAATTTCATATGCCTCTGACATGATATCCAAGAACCTAATATCACTACTGTAATATTTCCCTGGCAAATATGAGTAACTTTAATCCATACTGAAGATCATTCTACAAAATAAATGGCCTGTTCAAAAATGTCTATGTCACAAAAGAAAAGACACACTCAGAAACTGTTCCAGATTAATGTGAATGAAGAGAGACATGACAATAAATGACAATGTTTGATCCTGGGCTGGACCTGGGACTGGGAAAAGAGAAGATAGTTATAAAAGGCGTTTTTGGAAAGATCAGCATTTGAGTGGACGCTGTGGGTTAACTGACAGTGTCGGGTCAATGTTATATGCCCTAATTTTGATCATTATATAATGATAATGTAAAGGTAGGAAGGTCACTGAAATATTTGGGGATAAAAAGACATGATGTCTACAACTTATTCACAACTTACCATTTGAGAAAAGAACAAAATGCATATTATTTTATGCATATTAAATGATATGAAGAGACATAAACTGATAAGATATGATTAAGCAAACGGAGCAAAACGGTGACCCTTGAAAAATGTGGCCAGAGGGTGTGAACAGGGATCCAAGCACTCATCTTGCAAGTTTGCCACATGTTTGATAGAACATTAAAAATAAAAAGTGCCCCTGAGAAGGACCTATCTCGAACAACTCAGATGCAACTAAGCTATAAAAAACTCTCCAATCAAAAATGATTACAGTGATATTCAGACACAGATGTTGCATGTGAAATGTTTGAAAAAAAAAAAAAAGGAATGAAATGTAAAAGCGAGAAACAGTATATCTATACTAAAACGTTATTTTATATAAAATGTGAGGCAGTCATGCACGGTGGCTCATACCTGTAATCCCAGCATTTTGGGGTGCTGAGGCAGGCAGATCACTTGAAGCCAGGAGTTCGAGACCAGCCTGGCCAACATGGCATAACCCCATCTCTACTAAAAATGTGAAAATTAGCCAGGCATGGTGGTGGGTGCCTGTAATCTCAGCTACTCAGGAGTAGCTGAGGCAAGAGAATTGCTTGAACTCGAGAGGTTGGAGGTTGCAATGAGCTGAGCATGCCACTGCACTCCAGCTGGGCAACAGAGTGAGACTTCATCTCAAAAAAACAGTGAGACGGATATCTAACTAAATAAGTTAGACATCATTAATAGACACAGGCATTTTATCTACATCTCAGAACTTTATATATTCAAGTTGTTCCAAATGGTTTTTAAGAAATATTTTCTTTGGGAAAATGGGGGTATTTTCTTCTACTTTAGTGTACATGGTTAACAGACTAGGCACATCATTTAAAATATTTTTTAATTCTTAAAGGCCTACATGAATATATCCTGTTTTCTTTTTTCTTTGTAAAACTAAATTAATTCTGATATGTTTCATTCAATGGCAGAGAACTCCCACGAAGGGGTTCCCTTTTACCCCTTTGCTCCTGCTGTGGTCCAATATGGTGATCAAATGACCCAGGAAGGCTGACAGATGCCAGGGGCTAACTGTTCTTCAAGTCAGGCCACCATGCACTGGATAGGTCACCCACGCTTAGCCCTGCCCGGCAGTCCCCAGCATGCTGCCCTTGACCATGGCATGCTCATGGCTGCTCACCTGCCTCAGTTCAGGGTTGCTATTCAGCTGGTTTAGAGACAGTCTGATGCTGTTGCAGGTTTCACTTGTTGGACGCACAGAGCACAGAGGGTCATTGAGAGAGCCCCGCAGGCTAGTTTTCACGCTGGTCAGACTGCTGCTAAGCTGCGTACTTTGTTGGTGCAAGCTCTTCAAGGTGCTGTTCATGTTCTCTAAGGCCTCTTTGGTCTCTTTGATTGCTGTAGAAACACAGCCCACTTCAGAACAGACATGTAAGTCCACTCTCATCTACAAAAGTGTGTCTAAAGGGACTTGGGATGGACTGGTAAATGACTTTAGATGGCAGTGAGGGGGACACACTGCGAGGGGCAGTCTGGGAGGGGAATACAGGAGCATTGCTAGGCTGTTCTAACAGCTACTCCCACCAGCTCCGCTCTCCCACTTGGGGTCTCTTTCTAATAAGAAGCCGGGGGCAAGCACCAACCTGGGAGTGTGGGGGAATACCTCAGTGCAGCAGTAACTGGCCAGCAGTGGCCAGCAAAGTCATTACCACCCAGCCTCAGAGAGGTCAGTCCAAACGAGCCAATCCCAGCAGTTTAAATGCACATCAAAATGGATTACAACCCAGACACACTTTAACTTTGATTTTTCTAAGAGTTGAAATCAAAACTAGCACAGTAGTTAAGTGCATGGTTTTAATTTCAGGCAGGTCTAGGCACGGATCTCAGCTTTGTTATTTGCTGTGTGATTAAAAATAGACCCCTGATCTGCTCTGAGCCAATTTCCTCATCTTCAATTTCTGAAACACCACCTTATTCATCATGAAACAAGGGGATTAGATCAATCAGATGAAAATGCCTCAAAGGCAGTGGTCTATCTGTATAAATTTGGAAGCCTCACCACCTAGGACACATTCTCATACAGAAAGTCCCCAATTAACAATAGCTCAATTTATAATTTTTCAACTTTATCATAGTGGAAAGCTATATGCATTCAGTTAAAACTGTACTTCGAAGTTTGAATTTTGAACTTTCCCCAGGCTAGTGATATGGGGAAGGATATTCTCTTGCAATGGCAGAAAGCCACGGCTCCGTCAGCCATACAATCAAAAGGGCAAACAAGCCATATTCTATAGCATATTAAAAGCATCTTTAACTTGTGATGTTTTTAGTTCACCTTGAGTTTATTGGGATGTGACCCCATTGTGTATGTGGAGAGGCGTCTGTACTAGGAAATCCAGAATAAGTGTTTGCTATCCTGATTTCTCTGGATGGGGGAGCTCCATATACACAACTAGGGAGGTAGGGAATTCTAACTTTTTTCTACAGTGGTTTAAAGCCACAGCAGTAAAAGATATGAAATTTAAATTAGAGATTGTTCTTCTTCTAAGCAAATAAATATTCTTGGTCAGGTCTTTGCTCTGTGGCTCACAGAACAAAGTGTGGAGGATCAAGCTGCAATTGGGTGTTTCAAGGAAAAGTATGAATGTCCTTAAAAACTGGCTTCCCCATCCTTTCCTGGCAGCCACATAACACATAATACTTGCGGGTTCAAACCACAACCACACACACACACACACACACACACACACAGACACACACAGACACACACAAATACACACAGACACACACACAGACACACACACACACACAGACACACATACAGACACACACACACATAAACACACACATAAACACACACACAGACACACACACAAACACAGACACACACACAAACACACAGACACACACACAAACACACACACAAACACACACAGACACACACAAACACACATAAACACACAGACACACATAAACACACACAAACACACACAGACACACACACATAAACACACACAGACACACATAAACACACACAGACACACAGACACACACATTTTAAAAATGTTTGTGTTGAGTCTAGCCAAAAGTAGCCCGCGGTTGCATCCCCGTTTTGCTGGTACCTTGCTGCAGCACATTTGGCAGACTCACTTCTCAGGACCTTGATCTCATCTATAAATTATGGAGGGGGTTAGGTCCCCTCCTTGTTACTAGAAGAGTCTGATTCTAGGCTGTGCCCTAATAGCTTGTGGGGCTGAGCTCTTGGGCGATGGCATCCCCCATGCTAACTAGGTACTGCAACCTAGCTTTGAGGATGTACCCAGAGACCTGGGAAGGCTTCCAGAATTACACTGTATCTTCCTTGGCCTCAAATTTCTATCACTTTACCTGGATAGAAAAGCTTAAAATCTGTTTCAAACAGTTTTTTCTCTTGAATTTCAGTCTAATCATAGCATAACAATATTTAAGATGATAATATTTAGAACTATCGAAGAGCACCCTGGAGATCAGCTTTTCATCTCGCCCACCTATCATCCAGTTTTATCGGGCAAGTATGAAGCCTAGTATCTGGCTTATAGGAGAAGCTCAGTAAATACTGACCACAGCCAAACAAAAAGATCTCAGCTGCAACCAGAACTACACAGAAGAATGCAAACAGCGTGCTAAAACACACTTCACATTAATGTTCTGTGGTTTGCTCCTCACAGCCCTTTTCACTTTGACTTCAAGATAGAAGTTATCTTAAGGCTAGAACCACCACCACCACCGACAGAGAATGACAGATGACGAAATAAATGCATGGCCCAGGAAACGTGTGTTAAGCGCTGTTCACAGACATTCTAGGCTATGGATAATATTCTGTCATGTCACAGGGAGGACTCAGAAGTAATAAATACATGTTTTCCAAAAGCTTCAAAGCATTTTATTTCTATGAACTATTCACTGGGTTGTAACTCTGAGAGTCCTTCCCGGCCCACGAAGATCATATATAATATGAATCTGAAGTCAGTAGAAAAGATATCTCAGATTCTCAAATTTAGTTAATTAACCTTTTACTAACCCATAGCATATTTCTTTTACAGGTCCTGATCTGTAGTCCAAATATGATTTGCACACCAAAATGACTGCATGTTTCTGCTCCCTCCAAAACCCACTAAACACATAGGGTGCAAAGTATTTTTAGAAAAAAAAAAATTGCTTGAGTAGTTTATTAAGCATGTTTTAAGAAGTTCTGGTAACACCAGAGGCTAAATTTTAACTTATTCAGGCTGAATTTTAGGGGAAAAAAAAGAACTTTAATAATAACACAGGAGGCACTGAAGAGAGAAAGAAAATCTTTGCATTATCTTTTATCTAAAAAGTACTATAATTTAGTTGCTAAAAATTGCGAGAACATTGGACAAAAAGTAAAGGTATGCATCAACCACACTGCATCATTCATACACTTTTGCCCAGCCTTCACCGTTACTTAATTTGTGGCTAGAAGAGATCTTGGATCTCCTCAATACAGGAACATAAGATATGTGATCTCTTCAACACTGCAATAACATAATGTATGTGATCTTGGTGGCCCTGGAATGACTCCCAGAGTTACAACCCAGTTAATACGTTATAGACATAAAATGCTTTGAAGCTTTTGAAAAACAAAAAGATCTTGTTCAATATTGTGAGCGCACTGATGCACGAGGGTTCTGGGGTGCAGGGATGCCTGGCATCGTCTGTGGCCATGTGAGCACTTGAATCCCAGATTTCCAACTCTCCCTCCAAAGGTGCACATGTTGCCTCCTCATGGATGTCACCACAGCACCCTCCATCTTAACACTCTTCAAGGTACTGAGTCCCATCTAGGGTGGTCCAGGTAACACAGACTTTCGCTAGAAAGGGGTCTGAATCCCACTTCCCAGCTGTGCACTTGCTATGAACTGAGTATGAATCCCTCATTCATATGTTGAAGCCGTAACCACTAATTCGACCTGTAGGGAGGTACCTAAGATTAAATAAGGTCTTAAAGGTGGGTCCCTGATCCAACAGAACTGCTGTTCTTATAAGTAGAGGAAGAGACATCAGAGATGAGTGTCCCAGTCAGGAAGTGAGACGGGAATGACGAACAGGGGCCCGGTGTGCAAGGAAAGGAGGAGTGGGAGAGGGAGGGAAGGAGAAAGGAAGAAAGGAGGGAAGAAGGGAAGGAGGAAAAAAGAAAGGGATGGAGGGAAGGAGGGTGGAAGGAAGAAAAGAAAGAATGGAGAAGCCACATGGAAATGGCCAGGCAGGAAGGCAGGAGGCAACAGTCTCTGAGGTCATATCCCTTCTCTGGGCCTCAGTTTCCTTGCCTGGAAAGAAAATGGTTGGTAATGAAGAGAACAGATGTCTAGAGAAATCTAAGGCATCAACAGCAGGGGATGCTGTTCGTGATGTTCTTGTCAATGCTGAGAATGTTATTGTTGGCTGGACCCTTTGCATGGTCAAGGACAAGGAAAGGCCTTTCAATTAGTTAGGACTTATCACAGCAACTCCTGGACTGTTCTGCACGTCTTCGTTTCTGCACATTTGTCTCAGTTGCTGAACGATAAGGAGAGCCAAAAGGAACGGGAATAATTTTCCAATTTCCATGCAATTCTCTTCTCTAAGGACTATGTTCTCAGGAATGCTAGCTCATGAAAATAAAATTCATATTGGCAAAATCAACATATTACATAGATGTCATTGTCCTCTCCATTATGTACCTAGCAGGGACGTTTCTCTCAACATTTGGAAGGGCCTGGGAGGTGTTTTTTCATTACAGTGGAGCAAGCAGTTTATTAAAATCGGTACATCTGTCACTTGTATCATTGACTATGGAGGCTTAAGATAGGTATGTATATTCATTGCTTCTAAGTTTCTCTTTCAAGAAGGAAAAAGGAATCAGTTGCCTTCAAATGACCTGAATGTCCATAGGTTACTTGTCTTCTTTATTAGGGGTCAACAAACTTTTTCTATAAAAGGCCAGATAGTAAATATTTTAGGCTTTGTGGGCTATACTATGTTCCAACGACTCAACTCGGCCATCACAGCATGAAAATGGCCACAGATGATATCTAAACAAATGCGAATGGCTGTGTTCTGATAAAATTTTGTTCACAAAAACAGGTGGTGAGCCCCTAACAAATTCTGCCCCTGTCATCTCAAATGGCAACAGCTTTGGCAGAAGCTTTAATAAAGAACACAACCAAGCTATTGTAACACAGCGTCTTGATCTGAACTGCCTGCATGGCCATGAACGGTGGTTCTCCCCAAGCCAGCTCTCAGGGAGCAAGGAAAGAGTGAGTGAGGCTGCCAAGCGCAGGGTCTTCTGCATGAAACTGTCTTTGGTCATTTTTGCCCATTGCTTACCTGTCGCCATGGACTTAATCTCATCGAGAACAGGGATGATGTTGGGTCTCAGTCGGTCAAGAATTCTGCCTCCTAGCACTGAATTGATACCTACATGAAAATGAGCACAGGGACAGTGAGGGTGGCCTCTGCTCGTCTCTCCACCCCAACCTCATTCTCTCCACACTGCCTCAGCCTTTCCTGCTGCAAAACCCATCTGCATCCTGGACACTGTCTAGGGGTCGACTCGTGTATGGAGATTTCTCTTCGGGGTCTTCGCACCAGCTGTCCCCCAGGGAAAAATTAATCACCACAGACTCACAGACCCAATATTCACTTATACCAGGAGCATGGTGTTATCATCTTGGTCAGTATGTAACTGCCTGTGTCTCTGATCTCTTCAGCTAGACCAGGGTTTGCACTGGGACTGCACTCCGGGCGGGGAGGGGAGCTGTCATGTGCATTATGGGATGTTTAGGAGCATCCCTGGCTTCAACATACTAGATGTCAGTAGAAGTGTCCCCACCCCACCTTCACTTCATTGTGACAAACAAAAATGTCTCCAGATGTCACCAAATGTGCCAAATGTCACCCCTCCGGTTGAGAAGCACTAAGCCAAACCTTGGCCTTCAGGGTTGAGCCCTCTCCACCTGCCGCTTCTGAAGCCACTGGTTTCTCTGAGGAGCTCGCTGGGTCTGTGCAGGGCACCCGGCAGGAAAACAATCTTTCCCTCATGAAGGAAATGGAGAATGGGTGCTTGTGACTACAAGAGTGCTAATGCCTTCCAATGAGTGTAAAACGAAAAAACAAAACGTCCTGCTGCCTGTGAAAAAGACGCCTTCCATGAGTGCTAGACTCTAATCGCTGAGTAACAAACGGCACATTGGCAATAAGGCTAGGGAATCATCTTTCTGTCTTCCTCCAACTTTCACATACGTAATTTCTTAGTTCGCGTTCTGTGAGAGATGAATCAAAACAAAGAAACAACAACAACAAAAAAATGTGAAGCAACTTTAAATTTTACTCACTGTTCAGATCTAAGAACGCCTTGTCCTTGGTAGTGTTGTACTGGGCCAATATATATTTGATTTGCTGAAAAAGAGCATTCTGTGAGACCTCCCCTTTTAATGTCCAAAGGCAATGCAAGGACAAAAAGAGATTTAATATACAAAAGTTATCCTGAATCAGAACATTTTGAGGTAACAAGTTCTTAGAGACTTTTCTACTTTCTAACATGTTGATACCGTGAGCATCACAAATTTAGGATGATTCCTGCCCAGACACTTTTTAAAACAATGTCCTGAATAGGTAAATTCATCAACATGCTTCTGGAATACAGAAAAATATATCTGGGGAAAAAAGGGGACGTTCTCTCCAATCCCCACCCTTCAACCATCCCATTGTCCTTCTCTAAAGAAGTTTGTGTGTCCATGAGTGCGTGTGTGTGTGTGTATGTGAGTGTGTGCGTATGTGTGTGTGTGTGAGGTGTGTGAGATAGAGAGTGTGTGTGACTGTCCTTCCCAAGGAATCTGACATACCGGTGCAGACATTAGCAAATGGGTGTTTATAAAGCAGGATGGTTTCATTACAAGAGTAACTTTGTACAGGTGATGGAAAGTTAACCGTACCACCAAAAAGAAAGGATGATAGCACCTGACAACTTTTCTTTAAAAAAAAAACATGAGAGCCTTAAAATGATTAAGTCCTTTTATAATACACATTGTCATGTTATGTTATATCTTAATAAAATAAAAATCCCAATTCTGAAATTCGGCTTTTGTCCTCTCAAAAATCACTTTCTGGGCCTTTATTTATTCATCCAGGACATTAAAAAATAACATCAGTCTATGCTGGTTCGCTGCATTTCTAGAAGGTTCGAATGAGATTCCAAATATACACAGGAACTCCAAAAAGCCAAAAATATAGAGCATCGTGGTACATACAGATGATGGTTTTTACCTCTGGAGTTTCATTCAGGAGAGTTCGCAAGTCCTTGAAATTGCTGTCTGTCAGTTTCCGACTTCTTTTGATCCGGGTCCTTACCTGGTGATTTGCCACAAAACCATAGAAGATGCCAATGCTGCAGGAAAAGGCAGAGAGAAGGAAGAGCACTTACTGTGTGGTCCATGGTTCTCTGTCCAGGTCCAGGCAGCTGAGCAGGAGTAGGGAGGGGCCCACAGAAGGACTGGCCTTTCCTCTCCCCCGGTCCTCTCCTGCCACAGCCTTCCCGTTGCCATCCCACAGTAGAACCACCACCCACATAGAGGCTACAAAACAGGACTCAGTCCTCTCAGAGGAGGCAAATCTCCATTCAGTTCCAAATGACTGTCATCAATGGAACAATGTTTATAATACACTGTGGAGGAAATAGGTGCAAAAAGGTTATAAGGCAGCATGCGTGAACCAGTCCCATTCCTGTCCTTATGTGAACGTGTGTGGACACCCTCCCATAGGCGCATGTGCACACCTCTGTTCCCCAACTCCCCAAAGAAGTCTACAGAAAAAAACGTCAAAATGGTAAGAGTACTTGAGCCTTCTAAGGTTTTTGGTTTCTCGAATTGTCTGTTAGTGCCCTTATTGTCCAGGTTGGAAAGAACCATGAGTTACTTTAGCATTAAAATGCACGTACAACAGATGACCTGTGTATTATTAAATCCACAGAAAGTGCAAAAACAAGTGAAACGGTGGTGCCAGAAGTCCGTGGTTATGCTCACAGGAGGGGTGGAATGGCAGAGTATTCTGCTCATGGGTGTATTCACTTCATGGACATTTATGCATATGTACTTGTGAAAAGGACATTTTCCTCCATGTGAAATGTACTTCAGAAAAAGGTTCAAAAATGCCGTACGAAAGGTATCTTGCAGGAAAGCCTTCTCTATGTGGAAAAAAACAACAACAACAACAACAACAAAAAACAAACAAACAAACAAACAAACAAAAAAACCATCTTTTTCAATCCATCTAAAATGTCTAATGTAATACTTTTTAAGAGCTCTTAATGTTGATTCGTTACTGATAATCATTTGACTTAAAGTAATTTGACCAATTGGCTTGTGTTTGTACCCAAGCCTTCGAATATTAAAACGTTACATCACAAGGTGCAAATTGCCAAGGTTCTGTTGAACTTGGCCACTAGATGGCAGTAAGGAAATACATAAACATAGCGGAACTATTTTTACCTACAGAAGCAAGTAACAAACTTGTTAGTTTGTAGTGATCCAATGGAAGATGTAGATAAGGTTTTAGAATTAAGTTTTGCAAATAATAGACAAACTTAAAAAAATCAGATGCAGAAAATTAATACAGTGCCTCTTCAGCAAAAGCAATGTCTTGAGGCATTATTTGTGCATATATTTACAGATAGGATGACTTAAACATCCCATTTTTGCACCTAAAATCCCATGTTCCCAGGAAACTTCTTCATCCTGGGTGAATGGGAACAGTTATTCACCCCACTTATGGTATAAATATATAAATACATTCCCAGGAGCATTGGTTCATTACTGGTTTTGAAACATATTTTTCCATAGCAGTATAATATTGGTCCATTAGGTTTCCCAAAATGATCCAAAAAAGTCTATATAATACAATGTTGAGGAATATGTCTCATGATTAGCAAGTTGCAATGCACTGAGTACTAGACTAGGAGCACAAGATGTAGGTTCTAGGTCTCGTCCTACCACCACCGCACTGTACAAGCCAGAGAAAATCACTTTCCTTCCGTGGGACTCCAGCTGGTATCTCCAAACTGAAAGGATCAGTTTAGATCTCTAGGTCTAATCAGGTAAATTAGATCCAATCTAACTTAGAGTAGATAAGTGCTTCTCAAGCTGTAAAGGAGAGAAGCATTGGATGTACACGTTCTCTAAGATTTTAAGTTTGGGTTAATTCTGATGATAATCTTTTAAAATAAATATTAACAATATTATGTGCCATTTGGAATGACCGCCTTACAATTTGTCCTAAATATGCATTGGTATTTTAAGCCAATGCACTATAGCAATAAGAGTTATTAAATCAGACACTCCTGCCAAAAGAAGTCAAATGATTCAAAATAATGATTTTGGAGTTTTGTGAGGAAGCACACACACACACACACACACACACACACACACAGAAGTTGAGTCACAGCAATGCACCTGGAGCTTGCTACCATGCCAAATTCAAAACATTCTAGACCATGATGAGTCTAGAATGTTCACCACCTGAACATACCCGATGTTCACAGTGGGGTCCCTTGCTCTCTCTTCCCAGAACGTCCAAATTATTTTATTCACTCATCAGCTTCCAGATATAAAAGTCAAAGTGAACTTGGGAGAAAAGAACCAGTACAAGTCCACTTGCACTTGACCTCACTGACCCCTCCACCCATCCCCAGAAGGGAGAACCTCCTTGCCTTGAACTCCCAGAGGCTTTCCCTTTAATTCTGATGGGGCATTTCTCACTTCACACTCCAATTTGTCTTTATTCTTATCTGTTTAATTTTCCTAAGAAGAGGTGGAAACTACTTCTTTGTTAACGTTGCATAACGCAGTTGTGTTCACACTGGATGCTCCATGAAGGTGAGTTTAAGGGTCGGGCTTTGGTTTCATTTGGCCTATTTAGAAGACTGGCCATATGTCTGGAATGTGAGTCAGAAACTGTCTTTGTGCTTTATTGAATAAATGTCCTTACTTACAGATCACCAGTCAATGAAATGAATTACAATACCACATTTCAATACAACATTAAATTTCAAAATGCTATGCATTTTGAAAGACCTATATTTCTACTAATCAATAATAGGTCTAATTAAAATTAAAGCATTGATTTTAAAAAAAAAAACTGTACTAAGCTGGGTGTGGTGACACATGCCTGCTATCACAGCTACTTGGGACATGGAGATGGGAGATTCACTTGAACCCAGGAGTTCAAGTCCAACATGGGCAATACAGCAAGACCCCATTTTAAAGAGAAAAAGGAAAGAAAACTGTACTAAGCATGATTATAGAGTAGAAGTTAGTGATTTTCAAACTCATGCACAAAGTACATTTTGTATTTAAATTCAAATGCCTGTGTAAGCAGGCAGAAAGCATTAAGGAAAACTTGGGTGGCATGGGGCCATAGGAGCCGGGAGGCCAGAGGTGCGCTGGAGGAGCAGCAGCTAATCTGCAGGTCTCAAAAGTGCCACCACGATGGCAGATAAGTATCACCGTATCTTCCCATTATCCACGAAAATCTGGGAATCCAGATTCTTATGTGAAATCTCCCAATTTTCAAATATTAGCAACTAATCAAAGAAAGATTTAAATACTTTGAAGTCCAACTGATGGTCTCCATTTGCAATCTCAAATTTAAACCTTTTCAAACACAAATAGAGAATAAAGAAATTATGCTTTGTAGTATTGACTTGGATATTCCCTGTTGCTTGATGTCTTTTTTGAGCAAAAAAAAAGTATGTGAATAAATATTTTTATTTTTAACAACCCCCAGTCAATTATTAGAATGTAATGATACTAAGAGACATTTACGTAACACAAAAAGGAAAAATAATTTCAGTGAATGTCAGTTCTCTGCCATTTGACATAAATGCCTTTAAACAATCAAAAATGTGCTTTTAAGCAGTACAACAAAATCTCTTGGAACTTTTGAGCAGAAGATAAGAATTTTTATTTTTCTGGTCTTACATCTTCTATATTTTATTATAGAAAATTCAATTTTCTCAAATATATACTCACAAGTAAGTAAACTTTTTATAGAGTAAGACTAAACATTTCTTTTAAATCTTAACTTTAAAACTTTATTATTCTTACCAATTTCTACTGATTCAGTAAAATTAGTCAAAGGAAGCCAAATAAATGCTTTCAGTCTGTAACTGGTCTCTTATTATTATTATTATTATTATTATTATTTTAAATTACATTTAAACTGTAAGTAACCAGACTTCATTCGCATGAAGAAAGTTTCATGATTTTCAGGACTGCTATTGTAGTGCAATCTTTTTTCTACAAACTTGCAGCCTCCCAGTCAGGAATCAGCAATCACATCCTAACGTAAAATGAACTTCAAAAATAGCCAGCTTCCTGAAAATGGCTCAGATTCAATTCTCTATGGGAATTATTACCAAGTCTGGCTTATCATGCTCAGAAACTTAGAAACATAGAGAGGAAGTCAGGCATAGTTGTTCTTTTTTTTAAAAAAAAATAATAATAATCTTTTTGAAAAATGCAGCAGTGACAAGCAAAAAGAAAGAAAGAAGAAACTTGGCCTTTTCTGTAGTAAGACCCATCTGCTTAGCAGTCTACAGTGAGAGGTGGAGATTCGATCTTGTGCTGATGGTCAAACAGACTGTATAAACATATGTCAGTGTATACGGAATTCTCACATTTCACAGCTGCTCTGGGAATGCTCAGAGAAAGAACATGCCCACGTAGATTCCACATCTGCTAGGGAATCTTTCTCCTTAACACCTATGTCTTCTCTTCGGCCCGCTCAAAGAAAAGTTTAAAATAAAGAAGGATGCTCAAAATTACTTGAAAACTAACTTGGTTTAATTGTAAACATTTTGAACCACAAAATAAAATTGAGTCCAATAAAGGGCAGATGAACTGCTCTGGGTTTCCAAAAGAATTTTTTGTTAAATCATATACAAAGACTATTTCTCAATACTATCCAATCTCCACTGAGGTCAATGTCAGCTAGAGGCCCTGCATTAAACAGGAGAGAGTCCAGTCTGCTAGCTTTCCTTTCTGCTTTCCAATTCTATTGACATTCTTTTCCTTCTTATTTTTATCTAATCTTCTAATTTTGCTGACATACTTTCTTCTCCTGTCTAGCTATTCATAATACAGAAATTTTAACTTTCAGGTCTTTAATCCTCCCTTTAATCCTGGCTAGCTTTGATGATTTGCAAACAGTATGTAGGTATTACTCAACTAATGATGTTTGAGATATAAACCAGTGGGAGTTTCAAAAGGAAGCCATCAAAATAGTCATCATAAATCAAAAAGTTCATCAGAATTAAAAGTGAGAAAAAAAATTCACATACTATTCTCATTTAAACCTATTTATAATTTATATATCAATTCAACGTGCTACATGAAGTCAAATTAGTTTTAGTTTTGTCACAGTCTCAAACAGTTGATCAACTTTGGTTTAATTATATTGAAATCTAAAATTACAATTTTCACATTAATATTTTACTTGGGTGGGAAAAAATTGTTTTAACTGAATGTGTAGGAGGCTATAGAATCACAGCATGCATTTTTAAAAAGAATTTTCTAAATTAAAATATACTTAGAGAAAACATATTGATTTGATAGGTCTGAATTCTCAAGAATTAACAAAATGGTTAGCTTTCATTTTACATATAAATGGAAGCCATGTTTATTTTTTACTTTGTAGTTTTATTGATGATATATTTTGGCATTTTCAACATAATGTAAATGACTCAATCAGCTGAGAGTTATAACTATAACAATCATAACACATAATCATATATAACACAAATGAAAGTTCAGTGTTTAAAAAGAAACCCAATGTCATGGCTAGGCACAGTGGCTCGTGTCTGTACTCCTAGCACTTTGGGAGGTCGAGGAGGGCAGATGACTTGAGGCCAGGAGTTTCAGATCAGCCTGGCCAACATGGTGAAACCCCGTCTCTACTAAAAACACAAAAATTTGCTGGGTCTGGTGTTGCACACTTATAATCCCAGCTACTCGAGAGGCTGAGCCAAGAGAATCACTTGAACCCAGAAAGCGGAGGTTGCAGTGAGCCAAGATCACGCCACTGCATTCCAGCCTGGGTGACACAGTGAGATTCTGTCTTGAAAATTTTAAAAAGGAGAGAGAGAGGGAAGGAAACCCATTATTACACATGTAAACATTTATTCGGGTAAATAAATACTACATTCAATAAAGAATTTTCCTGAAATTACACTGTATATATTGACATCAAGTGAAAATTATTAACCTGTTAAATAAGTAATCACTCTAGCAAGAAGTCCTAAGGGCAGTATTTTCAAATGACACTTTCATATCTGAATCTCATCTCTGAGGTCCAGGATTTATGGAACGGGTAACATGGCTGTGCAAGTGTCCAGACAAATGCGGCCTGTGAGTTTCAGGCTTACAGGAAACACACAGGGATCCCTGGTGGGTCTGACAGTTTTCGGGGCTGTAACTGACATTCTTTTGGTAGCGGGAAGGAGGGAAATACCCCTACAGCTAGGAGTCTGTGAATTCCTTACAGCATATCAAATGCAAAGCAGAGAGAGACAGGGGTATCTGGAATGATCACTGACCTGATCCCCAACTGCCTCTCAAGAGCAAATGTGAAAAAAACAGTAAGTATCAAATGATTTTTGGAGACACAGAGAAAGAGACAGTGACAGAAAAATACAGAGGTACAAGGAGAGACAGTAAAGAGAGAGACTGATGGACAGAGATGCCCATACCCCAATCCTGTGGAGAGAAAACAAGTAACTCTCGGGCCAGCCTGCAGTGCATGAAGTCGGCTAACACATTCACCTGGATCCTGTTTACACACATATATTGTTAAGTTCTACTACTCCACTATTAACAGCAAAAGTCTGTCTTTGCTTAAACAATCACTGCCCTGGACTAAGTGGAAATGCATTGGCCTTTGTCTGTTGTGAAGATTTTTTTTGTCATTGTTCAAGTTTTAGTTTAGTTAATTCAATAGGTAATACCCAAGCCTGATACATATTCAAAAGAGACAAAAAGCCCAGCTACAGCAAGAAATGAGTTTCCTTCCTTCCCCTCACAACCCTCAATTTCCTTTCCAGAGGCAACCACCATTGCCAGTTTCTTGTCAACCCTTTCACATACCATCCGCTCTATAAAAATATGACCAAGTGCTTGTGTCTCCTTCCTGATCTTTTTTTTTAACATAGCTATCGTGTTCTGCACATGGTCTGCAACCTGCTTTCTTCACTTCATCTATTTTGGTGACTGTTTGGTATCAAGTCCAGAGCTGCCCAGTCCTCTCCAATGAGGACACTACATTCCAGTGAGTGTCCACCCTAAGCCATACATCTTATCAGACCCTTGCTGGTGGCCACACTTAAAGGCTCTCCTCCTTGGGTTTGCAGCTAGAATTCTAACTCATAGCACTTATTATTTTCTACTAAAATTCCTGAATATCACTTCCTTAGTGAAACTTGAAAAAATCTTATGGCTACTGAGCACATGGTATTTGGAGACACAGCAAAGAGAAGCTGTTGGCCAACCCTTGCTGTGCCTACATGCCCCAGGAACTTTACTTCTGTCCCTGCATAAAACGGCGGAATGAGTGAGGAAACGTGGAATGATAACCAAGCATCATAACAAGGGAACGCTGTTGTGGTGCACATTCTTCAGATGAGCAATCTAATCTAGACTTGAAAAAAATGTCATCTTAAAAGCAATGTATTTCTGAACAGCCAGTCAACTGGAAAACTTGAAAGCAGCAGAATCTGCAGCAGAAACACCCTAAATCATGAAGTGTGTTCCAGACTTCAAGAGAGGGTAGCAGATTAACAGCAAATATGAAAAAAAAAAAAAAAAACTGGGTTTATTATTAGAAAGTCAATTGCATTCTACAATATTCTCAAATTTCCAAATTCAGGGACTGCATCCGTCCATCAAGATTCCTCTGGACTCAACCAGCAAATCAACCTGCAGATCCATCCCTTTTCTACATGCTGGCTGTCTGCAAACAGCTAATTAAGAGGAGTCTGCTGCACTGGGAGGTAAATGCTTTCCGCAGTTCAAGATTTCTCAGAATATCTTCAAGAGGAAAACAATACCAAAGGGCCGGCTCAACAGCTCAGTTAGGGCAGCTTCATTACACCGCTGATGTCTGGTGATAATGAGATCCTTTTGAAACACTCTAGACAAGCACTTGTGTTTTCCCTGTCCTGTTTTGTGGATTTTCTTTCATTGCTGCTATTTTGTTTAGTTTTAAACTCATGGTTTAACCATTAAAATATGAGACGTTCTTCATCAGCCTAAAACACAATCAGTTGTTGTCCAAGATTCTACTTGCCTTATTATTATACAAATCACCAAGAGGGAGATTGCAAAGCATTTCCTCAGGAAGGGCCCATTTTCCTTCTGTCGCTGGTGCATTTCTCCACCACATTTGTTACAGCAACGACACATACAAAAGAAATACCCCACCAGAGGCATCAGAATAATAAACAGCAGTCCCAGGAGAGAGCACAGAATAATCCCTGCTTCGTAGTAGGCAATCTGCAATTCAAACAGAAGAAAGAGCACATATTGTAATACGAAATAATAAGTAAAACATTCCACGGTGTACGTGGTTCCTCTTTTCTTTTTTCTTTTTTTTATTCCTGAGACAGAGTCTCACTCTATTGCCCAGGCTGGAATGCAATGGTGTGATCTCCACTCACTGCGATCTCCACTCACTTCAACCTCCACCTCCTGAGTTCAAGTGAGTCTTGTGCCTCAGCCTCCGAGTAGCTGGGATTACAGGTGCCCACCATCATGCCCAGCTAATTTTTGTATTTTTAGTACAGATAGGGTTTCACCATGTTGTCCAGTCTGGCCTTCAACTCCTGCCCTCAGGCAATCCACCTACCTACACTTCCCAAAGTGCTAGGATTACAGGTGTAAGCCACTGCTCCTGGCTGTGTTTCATTTTTTTTTAACCTATCTGCTATCATTAATTGAATCTGAATGTGTGGTTTTTGTTGTTGTTGTTTGCATTTTGAAGTCCTTCTTGAAACAGAGGAAGCAGAGAATTGAGTTATTAAATATAGGACCAAGTGGTTACTGGAAGATGTCTTTCAGCCCCTAGGAAGATGTCTAAATGCTAGGTTAAGCTGCAAATGGTTTAATTTCAACCCCAAAGGTATTTTGTTTGTTTTTAAACGGTTCAATAAATCTTGGCAGGAGTACTTGCATAACAAATAGTCTACACATAAAGTGCTTTACACCAGGAAAACTGCACAAGTAGAAGTTATTAAAAATTCAAAGCACTTTGGATTGGCTGGCAAACAGTTACAGAAGAATCTGGAATGTATCTTAATTTAGAAAAAAGGCTCAGACTCTGAGTCAGGCATATTAAACACAGGCCAGTCACTGGGTTTCTCTACTGATACACTGGAAATAATAATACTTACCTTGACAAGTCACTGTGAAAATGAGCAAAAAGGCATGATTAGAAATAATGTGACCAAGTGTCAGGCACTGAATAGACAATAAAGATGCCTTTCTCGCCAGCCCAGGAGCCAGATTCACAGTGAAGGACCAACCTCAGCAGTCCACGTTTCAGACAGTTCCTAAGCTCTGAGAAACAGCACAATTTCTAGATACAATCATGTGACCTAAACATATTTTCATAATCACTGCTGACTTTATTCCCGGATAAACAAAAATTAATGCAACTGGATGATGAAACTTGATGTCATTCCAATTCATGCATGTAGTTGCTTACATTTCTAAAGAATGTCAGAAAATTGCAAGTTGGCAGTTTGCAACTAAATGGACAATCTAGACAGCTGCGAATTCTGAAGCCAAGCTGAGTAAAGGAAAATAAAACACAAGTTTTGTTCCTGGGAGCAAATAGGATGTTTTGGAGGAGAGACCTGGTTTACATCCCAGAGGGGGGCTTCCAGGTCCCTAAACTGGATGGTGTTACATTAGCATTAACCTCATAAATATACTGCAAGGGACAAATAACTAAACGATTGAATGTGAAAATAACTAGCCAAGTGCCCAGCACACAACTGATACTCAATAAATGGTAGTTAACTGAGCAAATGCTCAAGACTAGTAAATCTGGTACATCTGGCACTTGAATATTATCTAGTTCCATATTAAAATTAAATTGCTAAAAAAAATGGCTGAATCTTGTTTCATCCATCAAATATCTGCTTGTGCTTAAGCTAACCCCCATCCCATGTCCATGAAGAGGCATTATTAGCTGACTTAGCCCTTCCTCGAGGACCAATATCACTTGCCAATTAAGAAACCAGCCCAGACATTCCAAATTTTACTTACGTATTTTTCCATCATTTCTCAGCAAATATTCTAAATTATTTACTCTTTTAAAGAAACGTAAATTCTTTCTGAATTCCAGGAGACACTGAACCCAACCCCAGGAGAGTAGATTGAAATGGTTTAAATGCACTAATTTTACCTTTAAATAGAATTAGTACGTTTGATACGTAACCTTTCTAATGTTACTGACTAAATATCAGGCAGTATCAGGAACAAGACAGGGCATTTCCGGAGTCCACTTCTAGGCTGAATAGATGGAGGTCTGTCAGTACTTAAACTGTTTTTTGATACACCAAGATCTTTGAGTACTTTGTTGATTATGTTGAAGATCAACATCTAAATATTACAGAGATGTCTTTCTTAAAAGAGAGGGTTAAAAGTGTGGTAAAACAGAAATGAAACGGATCATTTAAAAATCTTCACAGTGAGGACGTCAGTGAAGAACAGAAAAGCTTTCAAAGAGCAACTGGAAACAGCAGATGAAGACGTTACCTTCAGACCTAAGAGGACAGTTTCTGGCTGTAGAAGTCAACGCAGGTGAGGAATTTTGGCAGAGGCGGCATGCATCAAGAAAACAGACAGAAAAAGTTATGAGTGATCAACCATAACCAAAAACATTAATATCCCACACGGAGAAAATTGAGTGATAGAAGGATAAACACAAGACAGGAATATAAAACTTGAGTGCAAATTCCAGAAACGGTGTATTAAGTTGCTTCGAGTTCTGAAATTTACATTTGCATTGACATTTGGAGTTCCCCAAAGGTTCTTAATCAGTGTGCTAATCAGTTATGAAAAGGAGAATCAGAGGGGGAGTTACAAATGCTTAACGCACTAATCATGTGATCTTCATAAAATAGAGAATTAGGCCTGAGAACTGCAGAACTAATGACAGCATCTTCCAAAGTTCCTTTTCTAAAATAAAAATCTGATGGTGTTATTCCCTTGCTTAAAGCGATCAATGGATTCCCGCCATTTTTATTCTGAACATCTCAATGTTTAATTTTAAATGTCCTTTTATGGCAAAATAAACTTAGGTGGCTCTATGTCATTTTCTAGATCATTTCTCTGAAATATTCTGGTCCTGGAAATCTAAAAGGTTAGAAACTATTGCCTTAGCTGGCAGATCTTCACAGATCTGAGGGAACATTTGTGAAAAGAAACACTTTTAAGTGAGGCATCCAAAATACTGGGACTAGGGGCCAGTTCAGATATACCTGCCTCTGGGGTCACACTGGGCATCTTAAATGGTCCCAGTCTCGCTTTCTGGGGAAGGGGCATATAAGCTTGTTACCAACCAGGGCACAAGCTCCCAAGCTCACCAGACATAAAAAAAGCGACTCACAGTGTGTGTTTAGAAAACAAAAAACAAAAAACAAAAAAAACCACTGACTCCTGGGCTCCTCCGCAAGAGCACATGAGTCAGAAGATATGGGTAAGACTGGGAATCTGTGTTCCTCGCACCTCCCAAACAACTTGACCTGGAGTCGTTGGCTTAGGGTCTGCTTCAAGGGGAAGCAACCCAACACACCCCGCCTTTATCAGACTAAATCCAGTCAGAAAGCCTTCCTCCAGATGCAGCCTGGCTCCTTTGGTAACTTTGCTTTAACTAAACCCCTATCTTTTAGAAAGTGTGGTCCAGTTCCGCATCTAGAGGAGGATTCAGCTCATTCATGTGGGCTCAGTTCTGCATCTTCTCTCCACTCACCCTCAGCCAGAGTTTTTATTCATTTGCAGAGGTAAGGAAGGAGAACAGGAGCTGAGGTATAAACCAAGGTTATGGAGTGCTAAATCTACTACCAAGTCAAGCACAAAGCAGTTGTCCAACTAAGACCCTGCCAGGGACAGTGGTAGCCCAGCTCCAGCTCAGAGTTGCAGGTTCGTTAAGGCCACCAAGCAGTCTCAGGACCTTGTCTTCCAAGTCCTGGATCCCACTGAAGCACTGCCCCCTACTTCCATTCCTTGGTTGGCATTCGGGCTGGCTACTAATGTTATGCTAATTTGAATATAAATATAAAAGCAACAGTCATTTTCTTCCCCCCAGAGATGCAGGCCGAGGTGGCAATCACGTTTGGGAGATATAAATGAAGCCTGCGGCACTGAAGACTGAAAATGCTTTCCATGGTGCTGGGGAAGGCTGTGAGCCCTGGCAACAGCTCAGTTCATCTTCCAGTATTCCCTTGCTGAATGCAAATGGCCTCCAGATAAGGCTTTCCTCTTCAGCTTCTGCATTTACTTTTCTCTTGCATATAATTTTCTTGCAAATTAAGAATAGGATGAGGCCGTTTGTAACTACCCTATCTGAGGCAATGATTCACTGGGCAAGAGTTAACGGACCTCTCCGCCCCCAGAAACACTAGCATTCAGATTTGTTGTGCCGGCCAGTAAAACACGTCCACATATACATGTGCTTATTGGGGTTTGATAACCACCTTCAAACCAGGAAAGGAAGGAGCAAAGTGCTTTACTTACCAAGAAGGACTGAGAACCTAGCAAACACATTTTACTAATTTGTATTACCTTACATTCAATGCTACACACTTCTGTCTGTCTGTTTTGTGGGCAACCTACACTCATAACACACCAAAGTCAAAAGACCATTCTTCAATTTCGGTAGGTGGTTGCAGAGGAGTGCGTTGACAGCACCATGGGTAACAACCAGAAAAATGGAAGGAGCCTTGATACTTTCTGAAAATACTATGGACTCGCTTTAGATAGACGTTTAAGACCCTCCCATGATCAGACCCCAATTTACCTTTTTCTTCTCTCCCTCTGGCTAGGGGCCTGCTTCTTTCTTACCTTGACCTCTTTGCTACATGGTTCCTGAAGCCTGGAATGTGAGCAGAGAGAGTGCCCACCCCTCTCACCGGCTCCAGCCCTTGTGTGATCCTTGTTACATATTAACCAGATATTGTCCCTGCTGTTGTCTTCTAGCCTCTTGAGACCAAAGGCTATCATCCTCATCTCCACTATCCTTCAATTCTAGCCAACTACTCCCACAGCAGGAGCTGCATAAACCTTATGCAAATGCAAAGCTACTTTTTAACAAGTGATATTTTATAACAAAGTGCACAGTCACCGTTTCTAGGAATTTTCAAACAATTCTACTTAATGAGGGAGTTCTTATCCCTCAGCTAAAGGAAAAATAGCGAAATATTTCTTTTTGAAGAAATTTTAGTTTTTAATTTCTGAATAACATACAACTTGAAAGGTTTTCTTCAAATGCTACTTTTGAAACTTCTGCTATGGTTCAAATGGGATCTGTAAGGTGGTTCAATATTCCATAAGAGTTCTTAGTCAAAAAAGGTTACTAAAATTGCAGATTGAATTACTGGTTGTTTAAAGATTTACTTTCAAGTCAGACAAAATTTTTCTCATACTTCACATTTTTTAATAACAAATACACCAATGAAAAATTACCTCATCATAATTAATTTTGGACTCAAGTGCCTTCCGTATGACATTTTTCAAAGTATCTGGAAAAAAAAAAGCCACAAAATAACAAAATTATTTTTTCAGCAAAAATATAAAATGCATATTTAGGAAAAAAGAGGTCTATATATGCTTACAAATTATTAATACCTATATTTCCATTATTCTTATTTTATTCCTATTTCTTAACGTAGATAAATAATGACCTCTAGCCAGAAGCCAAGAATAGAAGACAAATAATTCTGATTTACCATTTGCCAGTGACAGAATTAGTTGTTATTTTTAAGTAATTGATCATAATACACCTTAATATTTACCAGCAAACCACATGCAGCTTATTGATAAATCATTTATAAAAATTATGCTGAAATTGCCAATTCTTAATTATCTGGAAACACAAATGCAATTTATTTTTCAATAATTCTACATTTGCATATTAATATTTTACAAAGGAATGGATTAAAAAGAATCTTAAAATTAACCCAACTCGGTCGGGCACCATGGTTCATGCCTATAATCCCAGTAATTTGGGAAGCAGACGCAGGCAGATCGCCTGAGACCAAAAGTTTGAGACCAGCCTGGCCAACATGGTGAAACTCTGTCTTTACTAAAAATACAAAAATTAGGCAGCATGGTGGCACATCCCTGTAATCCCAGCTCCTCAGGAGGCTGAGTCGGGAGGATTACTTGAACCCGGGAGGTGGAGGTTGCAGTGAGCCGAGGTTGCGCCACTGCACTCCAGACTCCATAAAAAAAACAATAATAGTAAATAACCTAAGAGTTCTGAACATGGAAATCCTTCTCTTCCTGTTTCAAGCAGTGCACAAAAATCTATGCAATGCAAACTTAAACTTTTCCGTAGATATTCATTTAGGGCATTTCAAATTCTCACATAGGTCTGGGACAAAAAACGGTTAAGAGCCACCTCTTAACCCCAAGCCACCATCTAAGAATGATAGGATAGAACTGATACATGGACAGAGAGGGTGACATAGTGATTCGTGAGGAGGCCAGATCAAGGCCGGGTCTTCCTTCTCCTGTGCAGGTGACTTCCCGCCACCCTGGACACTGTCTCTCATCCCAGGAAGGAGCTTCTGCAGTGCTATCACTATATCCATCACACCTGAAATGTACTACTGGGGGGCAAAAGAAACCCCACATTGACTTCTTTTTTATGCAAAAAAGTTCAGATTCACATACAGGAAAACGAAGCAAGCACTTTCCCACACAGCTTTCTGCAGAATAATTTTTCTATTCTACAACTCAGATATGGGCTGATGTTTAAAGATTGTGCTGCAGGAACAAGGGATTTTTCAAACTGGTATATCCCTGGGAACCGCAATAGTTCCTTCACAGTACGTCAGGGGCTGCCCAGGGACCAGAGGGACATTGAGGCTGTCCAGTCCCACAAGCTCCCTCCCCCTTCAACTAGTCAGCATTGCTTTGGCCTGTTTTACAGATCAGGCTTCTGTTTAAAACGCCATTGGATGAGTCTACTGCTAATTTAAAAAATGAGAAATCATCTATTTATTAAAATACATTTAGTTGCACAGCATAATATGTTGCAATTTGGGATCCTGATCTAGCAACCATTTAGAAGGGAATCCAAGCTCCACCACTTACTCGGTATCTAATCTTAGGTGAGTAACTGCTACAAACATCCTCATCTGCAAAATAAGATGTCCTTACTCTCAAAGGACCGCTTAGGGTGAAGTGAGAAAACATTTATAAATAAAATAGCACCAGGCCTGGCACACAGTGGGCACTTGGTGTATACCTGCTATTATTACATGAAGGGATTTAAAGAACACAGATTACAGAACAGTGTCCATGCTAAGTGCAGTGTTATTGTGGCATTCAATAACCATTCACTTTTCTTTTCCTCACAAAACAAAGCAAACAAACAAAACCAAAATGAAAACCTTTGGGTTTCTTTTGGGGAACTGCTCCTTCCATCCTCTCAGGCCACATGGACTGAGGAATCCAGGAGCCCAGCACCGAAAAGGTAGATCCTCACTGGTCTAAACCAGCAGGTCTCCAAGCGTGGGCTGTGGGAATCCCCAAGATATGTTCAACATTTCCATGAGGTAGAAATACAAGATGTTAATTGCTTTTTTGTTGTGTTGACATTTGCACTAGGATGCAAAGGCAGTTGTAGATAAGAATGCAGGTGATTTACAGTGGCTCAAGCCTGTAATCCCAGCACTTTGGGAGGCCGAGGCGGGTGGATCACGAGGTCGAAAGATCGAGACCATCCTGGTCAACATGGTGAAACCCCCGTCTCTACTAAAAATACAAAAAACTAGCTGGGCGTGGTGGTGCATGCCTGTAATCCCAGCTACTTAGGAGGCTGAGGCAGGAGAATTGCCTGAGCCCAGGAGGCGGAGGTTGCGGTGAGCCGAGATCGCGCCATTGCACTCCAGCCTGGGTAACAAGAGCGAAACTCCGTCTCAAAAAAAAAAAAAAAAAAAAAAAGAATGCAGGTGATTTAGAACGAATCAAGGTTGCAGCTAATACTCATTATATTCTTTGCCATCATGCATTCATGTTCAATAGTCAGTTACACTTTTTAAAAAGAGTCTTGATAAAGCATTAAAAATTATTTTTATTAAACCTCAACCTGAGAGTACAGCTTTTTATTATCTTGTGTAAGAAAATGGCAACTACACATAAAGTTCTTTCATGCACATCAAAGTATAATATGCAAAAAGCATGTGTGCAAGTGTTTTAAGTTGTGAGCTCAACTAGCCACAGTTCTCATGGAACACCATCTTTACTTGGAAGAAACGTTGATGGCCAGACACGGTGGCTCACACCTGTAATCCTAGCACTATGGGAGGCCAAGGCGAGAGGACTGCTCCAGCCCAGGAGTTTGAGACCAGCTTGGACAACTGGGTAACATAGTGAGAGGCTGAAATAGGAGAATCATTTGAGCCCAGGAGTCCGACTAAGCCACTGCACTGCAGCTTGAGTGACAGAGCGAGACCCTGACTCAAAAAGAATAAAAATAAAATAGGCAGGGCCCTGTGGCTCATGCTTGTAATCCCAGTACTTTGGGAAGCTGAGGTGAGTGGATCACCTGAGGTCGAGAGTTTGAGACCAGCCTGACCAACATGGAGAAACACTGTCTCTACTAAAAATACAAAATTAGCCGGGTATGGTGGCACATGCCTGTAATCCCAGCTACGTGGGAGGCTGAGGCAGGAGAATCACTTGAACTCAGAAGGCGGAGGTTGCAGTGAGCTGAGATGGCGCCACTGCACTCCAGCCTGGGCAACAAGAGTGAAACTCTGTCTCAAAAATAAAAAATAAAAAAATAAGACAGGCTGAGAGACAAATCGTTACTATTCAGATTGGGTATACCCAATCTCTGCCTTTAATTGTGGTTCACTGCCGTTCAAACTCCTGGGCTCCAGTTATCCTCCCCTCTCTCCTCAGACTCCTGCATAGCTAGGACTACAAGTGCACGCCACCATGAGCAGATTTTTAAAAAAATTTTTTTGGAGGGATGGGGTCTTACTATGTTGCCCAGGCTGGTCTTAAACCCCTGGCTTCAAATGATCCTCTCACTTTGGCCTCCCAAAGCACTGGGGTTACAGGCATGAGCCACCATGCTTGGACAGCATTTTCTCTAAAATGAAAGAAGTGGAGCTTGAAAGTTTAAGAAGCCACTGACAGGATTAGTTGCCAATGATAAAATTGGAGTTTTTAAGCAAAAATTAGGATTTTGCAAAATCTGTATCCACCACCATGAGCTTGACAGCGCTGCAGTACTTATGCCTTTCTAACACCATCAGTAAGGATATTAAAGAATTTTTGATACTATGAAATGAAATATGTCCACATTTGGGAGATGTGCAAAACTCAGTGAATGAATATTTTCCAAATGATTCATGTATCATGTCACAAAATCCCACATGGAAAAAGATCCATTCAAAGTGGAAGACAGGGAGGTGGGAGGAGGGCAGATGATAAAAAATGACTTAATGGGTACAGTGTATGTTATTCAGGTGATGGATACTCTAAAAGTTCTGACTTCATGACTGTGTACTCTATCCACATAACAAAATTACACTTGTACCCCACAAATTTGTACAAATTTAAAAAATTTTTAAATAAATAAATACAGTGGAAGACAGACCAGTGGATGTTAATAGATCAAAGTATGAAAAATTAATTCATATGTTCCAGATTCCACGTTGCAAATAACCTTTAAAAACTAGCACCTGTACAGTTTTAGTGTGGTATTAAAGAAAAATAGCCACGAGTATCTGAAGACACTCCTAAATTACTGCTCTCTATTACAACTACATATCTCAGTGAGAGCAGACTACATCAATCGAGCTAACACCCAGTACCTCAACAACACGGAATCAGACACAAATATGAAAATCCAGCTGACTTGCACTAAGCCAGATGTTCAAGAGATTTGCAAAAAAGGCAAAAGCCAATGCCGCTCTTCTCATGAGTTTTGCTTTTGGAAACTAGTTATTTTTAACAAAATTAAGTTATTTATGGGAAGGGTTTATTATCATTCTTTTTAAATGAATTGACAAATATATGTTAAAGTGTTCTCCATTTTATCTTCAAATATGATAAATACTGATAAACAAAAGGGGCTCTAAATAATTTTTAAGAGTTAACGGGGATTTGAGACCCACAGTGTGTAATTGACGCCTTCTGGTCTGAGCCAAGTAACATATTCCCCTAACCCTTATAACTTTAGGATCCAACTTTAGCCAGTGAGACACACTCAACAAATTTGGATTTTCTTGTATTTTGTTTGGTTTGTTTGTTCATTTGTTTCATAGAGATGGGATCTCGTTCTGTCACCCAGGCTGGAGTGCCATGGCTCCGTAATAGCTCACTGCAGCCTCTGACTTCTGGCCTCAGCCTCCAGAGTAGGTGGGACCACAGGCGTGCACCACCACACCCAGCTAACCCTTGGCTTTTTCAGGGGAGGAATGCTCACTAACACCACCCTTCCCCAGGCCCCTGGTGGACAGGATGTTGGTCTGAAGCCACTGCCACAGTCCTCCAAGCA